CGGTCTCTAAAAGTTGAGCCATAGCTCTACGTTGTTGTTTCGAAACCGCTTCATCTTTCTGTTGTACCATACGAAGCCGGGCAATCGAGAGCTTCAGTTGGACCTTGAGTTTAGACTGTGTAAGAGTTAGCATATGTATATATGATTCAGTAATAACGTATGAGAGATAACAAATGTATTAACACTCACAATTACCGTTGAAGAAGGCGCCATGGTGATAGAAATCGATCTTTTATTATCTTGATGTTAAGAAAGTATGGATGTAGTTACGTTGTCTATCATTGCTCGTTGCTTAGTACGTAATAAGTAGTGCGGGGCATACTTTTAGCTGGGCTGGGCTCACCGGGGGTCTGTGAATTCCAGCTCGCTCAGATAGGTACGGGCGGTCAATAACCCCTTGTATGCAAATTTAATCACTGTAGATCTAAAATTGGGTCGTTATTGGCTGGCTCGAGGTTGGGCATTTTCAGACTTTGGAAAGAAATTCCCATCGCGCCTCAATCATTCATTTCTATTTTCTTTTCTTTTAATTAACGTCAAATTATAAATATATCTGCTTTTCCTTTCGCTATGCATTCAATTGAAGTTTAACGGTGTACAAGTCCCAATCTTTCTTTTTCCTTACGTTCATATAATGCCTCACGATACACGACCAACACAATTCTAACATTCGGATTCACGTCAAGTCCAATCTAGGCATCTGTCGATACCATTGGATATTTGGGACCTTACCCATACATACATGGTAAGACTGCTTAAGTCCTTAAATGCGCCGAAACACACATACAATATATACATGATGGGGAGGTCGATATGGAGTCCCAGCAAATGGGAGGAATGGGCGGAGAAGAGAGCGAGAGCAATTTGGACCAACATGCAAACGAATAATTTGTGGCAGCGAATGTTGAAAAACACTCTGGCGACTACAATCTGTATCATTATTGCGATCATTCCGCAGGTGGTAGCAGTTTATGGGAAAGCCGCATACCTTGCGCCAATGACCACCGTCTTTGGACATCCAGGGAGACGCTTCGGAATGATGGCTGAAGCTCTGATACTGGCTCTCTCAGGAACAATGCTTGGAGTAGCTTGGTCTATGCTCGCATTGTACTTGTCGAGTCTCATATATGACAGTAATCCTCAAGCAGCATTCACTATTCGAGGTATATTTCTTGCTATATCGCTGCTCTTCCATGGAGTCCTAAGGTCACACACACCACGCCTATTCCTTATGGTGCTACTCCTAGTTATAGTGTGCGTCGTGAGTATGACCAGTACAGCCACGGCAGTCACAACGCTCTCAGTCACCCAGCTTGTTTACCCAATCGTAACTGCTATCGCTGTCCTACTTGCTGTGAATACTCTTGTTTTCCCGGAGTTCTCTAGTAGCTTCCTGGGAATCACCACTATCGAGACCCTTGGCGAAACTGTTGGAGCTTTGCGGGATGCTGGGCGCTACTTCATTGCCGGTGCCGAAGGCTCTGAAATTGCAATCACAGATACTAAATTAGAAAAGATCATAAGTGCCTCGGGAAGTAAAAATGGTGCAGACCTTGATAGACCACCGACTCTCGCTGAAAGGCGTCCCGAGAAGTCTAACATCAACCGCTTGACTTTAAGGCAAAGAATACTTTCATTCTTCCACAAAACTGAAGAAACTCCGGAACCGCTTCCAAAAGACGTCAACAAAGGTCCACAGCTAGTGAAGCTGAAATCACTGACGGATAAAAAGGCCCAACTACGTGCTAAATTGGCAGGATGCAAGGCAGCCCAACAAGAATGTAATTTTGAGCTTGCTTGGGCCGTCATACCACCGAGAGATGTGAAACCCATCAGTGATATTGAAATGAAGAAACTTGTGGCTAACACCATTGCTCTTATTTGTGCCTGTGAAAGCAAATACGCATTGATGGGTGACGTTGATGACAAAAAAGAGACCGAAACCAAGAATGAAGGGCAGCTCAAATCAGTGGCTGAAGATGCTGGAATCGAAATTCCAGATACAGAGGACTCATCACGAGCAGCGACAGACATGGACACACACGATGACTCAAGTACAGATGAGAAGAAACGTTCCAAGAAAGAAAGGCGTAAACAAAAGAAGAAGAGAAGAAAGGATAGGAAAAAGGTCAAGTCATTGATTGAGAAGGAGATGGACAATCTGGAGTTGATCAAGCCAAGGAAAGAAATCGAGTATGGCGATATTGAATTGTTGAAGTATCTTGTGCAACGCATTGCAAAACCATTGTCAAATCTTCAAGAAAACATTGATAGGAGTGTGGATGTCGTTTCTTCCTCTCTCGCCTATTGCTACGATGTCCCCAAACTACCTTCAGGCACTCGAGCACCCGCTGGCATTCGACTCGAAGAGATTGATATTCGGGTCGATATTCTAGTTGATGCGATTGCGGATTTTGATAGGACTTCAGCCTCGGCATTGGAAAACGCCGCTGTGCTACATGATCTTGGTGGACCGCAAGTTGATTTAATGCCTCGAATGGAGACATTTCTGATTTCCTCATTCTTGTTGAATCTTCGACAAGCTGCCCTGCATACACTTGAGATGCTTAGACATTCTCGGGTTCTGGTTGAAAGACGACAAGAACGACATGACCGGAAAAGAATTTATCTTCCACAGATCAATTGGAGAAAGTGGCTTCAGTCCGGTGGTGAAGCGGATATGTTAGCGTTGCCGGACAGTGCACGAAAAGATGCAAGAACGGGCAAAAAGAAGGACAATGATGAAGGTGATGCTGCAAGTATTGATAGTGGAGAAACACTACTAACGAAAAAGGACGTGGAGTCAGCAACGCCGAAAAAGGAACCCCCAACACCATCGTCTAAAGCTACAGATAAAACTGTAAAACGAAAGAAAAGGGGAACGCGCATGTTCCGATTGCGAAATTGGTTAGCCGACGCGATTGAATATTTGGTTGGTAGTGACGACATCTCATACGCTATCAAGTTGACTGTTGCCGTCTTTCTTGTGACTTGGCCGGCTTTTCTTGTTCAGTGGAATACTTGGTATTCTTTGAATAGGGGCCTTTGGGCTGCTTTGCAACTGGTCCTCATCACAGAAGTTGCCATTGGAACCTCAGTTATGACTTTTATGTTGCGAGCTGTCGGTACAACGATAGGTTGTATATGGGGTTATGCCGCTTTTGAGGCTCGCGGGGGTAACAGAATAGTAGCTGTGGTGATGATCGTTATTGGCATTATTCCATCCACTTACATCCAACTCGGGTCTAAATACATCAAAGCGGGGATGGTCACAATCATCTCGATGTCGATTGTAGTCCTTGCGACTGAAGATCACACCGTTCCTGGTTCAGCTACTAGGAATTTCTTGAAACGACTGATTGCCTTCTTCATTGGTGGTATTGTGGCTCTCATCGTAGAAGTTGCGTTGTTCCCAGTCAAAGCACGTGATCGTCTTGTAGAATCTCTCGCCTGTTCCATACGACAAATTACAGAAATGGAGGCCTGCCTAGCATATGGTATCGAAACTGAAATCAACAACGTCAATGTACATTCTCCAGCTGTCATATCCCGCTTTTCTATCGCCAAGGCAAAGGCCGAAGGCGCCTTAGCAGCCGCAGAAACCTTCCTTCCATTCTGCGCCAATGAGCCACGCCTCAAAGGTTCCTTCGCACCTCATGCTCTTATCTATAGCGAAATTCTTTACGTATTGCACGCCATTGTAGATCGTATGGAGAATATGCTTATTTTACGTCACGAATATGGGTCAGGTGTTCTCGAAGAACTCAATGCACAAGTTTACCCCTATCGGCGTAATGTTGCTGGATCCATAACGCTGATTCTTTTTGCCACTCACGAGGCACTTACGACTAAACTTCCACTTCCTCAATTCTTGCCTTCCGCTCGTCTTGCTCACCTGCGCATGATAAATCGTGTCCGGGAAGTCGTTATTTCCTCTTCAGGTCATGTAAAAGAATCTTCTAACGAACGGTCAGAAATTGAAGTCTCCATGGTGAAAAGATTCGTCCGGCAAAAATTTCTATCTTGGAATGCTGCCTCTGCTGGTCAAATCGAAGTCATTGAATACTTAGAAGAACTTATTGATCTTGTCAAGCTATTGGTGGGAGCAAATGAGTTTAGGAGCGGGCTATTGACGAGAGGTAGTTACAGGGAGTGGGTAGATAAGATTCAAAGACCTGACACAGTAGAATCGGAAATGATACCAGCTGATGGAACTGTGGAGGAAGCCCAACCACAGATGATATCGACTAGAAAGAGGAGACCAACATTTAGTAGCACGAAAGAGAAAATATTTGGGCCTAGTCCTGGTAATGCCAGTACTATTCGACCTGATACTGCAAGGCCTAGTACGGGAGCCAAGTCTGTAATGATGGATAAATTGGAGCTGGAAAAACAGAAGAAGGATATGGAAGAGGAATTGCCAAGGGTCCTGCAAAGAGTTCGCACGAGGAGAATGAGTGAGATGAAGGGGTTTGGGGAAAGGAAAAGTAAGGAAGACATGAATAGTGGGAATGCTGGGAAAGGTAAAGGAAGGGGAAAATGAATATTCACGAGGAGTTAGAATGTGTTCATAAAGATATTTTGGGTGGCTTGGGTGGGTACCGGTATATAGATCTTTTAATTCATAGGGATTTGGGTGGGCATCGGTATGTAGATATAGTAATTTATGCACATTTCTTCCTATTATTTACTTTTGGATACGAACTTAGTCTTGTATATACATCATCCTTCTAATAAAAATTCACCAAAGAAATTAAACCCCAGCGCTGCATCCTCGCAAACGCTCAATTCCAACACCGACATGATATTCCTGCTTCCTTCAGTATGTGCAACTCGCTAATGACTGAAAATAATATGCAGAACACGCTGACAATAACAAAGAATCATTCCCTGCCTGTCTAGAAATCTTCCATCTCACAACGCCGATTGCCAAACCCTCATAACTTTTCATCATCAGCCCAAATCCCGGAATCAATCCCTACCATTCCAAACCTTCCAATCTAACCAGTAGCATCATACCAACTCGTGACCCTCTCCCCCAAATCTCCACTTCCCTGTCCATGCATCGTCCTCTCCTTCCTCATCCTCCTCCTCTCCTCCTGCCGTTCCTGAAAACGTTTCTTCTCCTGCCCCTCCTGAAATAATTCCTCCACATGGGGTTTCAAATTCGGTTTCCCGCTGCTGCTTTGCGAGCCGCAGGAACTGAGGGTATCGAAACGGTCGATGACGGGTTTGATGGAGATGATGGGTTTGGTGGATTTTTCTTCGCGTTGGGTGAGGAAGGGAATGTTGGAGGGGGGAGATCGGAGGATGGGCGAGGGGGGGGAGAAGATGGAGGTGGGGGGGATGATGGGGATGCCGGGGGGGTGGGAGAGGTAGATCATTTTGGGTTTGGCTTTGGAGATGGAGGTTTGTTTGGAGTGGTGGTAGGTTGAGGGGTGGGAGGAGGAGGAGGAGGAGGGATGAGGATGGTTGGGGAGGGAGGGGTATGCGGATGGGGATGGGGATGTTGAGGTGGGGTAGATGGAGGGGATGTTGGGGAGAGGAGGAACTTCGGTTATGTCTTGGGGGGAGATGGGGAAGGTTTGGAAGGTGGAGACGGAGGCTTGGGAGTGGGTGGAGTAGCGAGCGCCGAAGGTGTGGAAGGATTGCGCCGAGGGGGATTGCAGGGGTGGAGAGGTGGGCGAGGCGAATTCGCTGGTTGTGGTGGGTGTTCGTGGGGTGTTGGGGATGGATGAGATGGAGTGGCGGGAGCGAGTTTGGAGAGCGCGGGGAGAGGAGGGGGTTTCGGCGACGGAGAGGGAGCGTGCTAGGGCACCGTAGGAGATTCCGACGGTGCGGGGTGAAGGTGGCATGTTGTGGGGGAAATCTGAGAATGGTCCGTCGAGTCGAGCGATGGTCTTTACTGGGACTTCGGGTGGTGGAGGGGTTCGAGGTAGAGATTGATGTGGAGTATTAGGTCTAGAGGATGTCGAAAGAGTTATAGAAGGTAGGTCAAGTGCTGGTAATACGGGCGGCAAGGATTCTCGTGTGCTGGAATTATTACGAGAGTGATGAGGAGGGAATAGAGCACCTCTAGGTTCGATCATCTCAGGAGATGTAGGGGAGTTAGCTGTGGATGTCGAAGGCCACCTTACAGGAGTAGTATCAATTCGACCAACTGGCTCGGGAATTTGTCTCACTCCTCGTAAATTTTCATCTATTGTCGATAGGAGACCTCGTGGCTCTCCCCAAAATTCACCACGGTTTTTGTTCTTCGGAGAGGTTGGCGACATGTATGAAGTGATCCGTTGCGTGTGGACCCTGAATGATTTCCGAACGCCAATACCTCCCCACTTGAAAATTTGGGTATCATTTCCTTGAAGCTCCACGGGCGTCTTGCCCATCTCTTCATCCTCGTCAAGATTCTTGAACTTCCCTCTTGTTGAAGAGATTTTCTGGTTTCTTCTCCGTCTCCATAATAGCCATGCACCGACAGCGAGTATTAGTAACAAGGCCGCGACGGCCAGAACGATCATAGCCTTCGCGACATCACTCATACCCTTACCCGAAGAGTCATTGGAGGACGTCGGTGTACTAGACGGCGAGCTTGCTAGTGCGATTGGCGTAGCAGTCGCGGTCGCTGAAGTAGAGGCCATCGAAGTAGATGATACTGCACTACTCGAAGTTATACTACTCTGTGATGACGTAGGGGAAGAGCTCAAGGCGCTTGATGTTACTGATGAAGAGCTCGAGGAGGATGATGTGGGGTCATTAATAAGGACACAAATCTGGCCAACAACCTTCAAGGTAGCTATGAGGAATTAAGCATGAGTTCTGAACTATCCGGGGAGAAACTTACTGCTAGCATCAATCAGACTACATGAGTCTTGTATACAGGTGGTTGCATTCGATACGGTCGAACTCTGTGTCGAGTTTCCACTTTCGTCTGCACAAAAACAACTATAATCACCAATACTACATCCAAGTGTGCTTGTAGCAGTATCGAGACAGCTATCCGAGCATGGCGGGAGAGAACTAATTTCGTCCGAAAGAGATTGCGTGTTAACAAAAGTCGACAGCAAAAGAATTAGAATCAATGAAGCGTATGAGAAAATCATTATGAAGCTACATTACTCGTAGTACAACAGAAAAAAAACATCAACGTCGCAAAAGGAACCAGAAGCATATCACACGTTGGGTATCCGTAGATCTAAAGTCAACATGTCAAAGACCCCGGTCAGAAGATGACATGGGGAGAGATGAGAATAGAATAAGCTCTAAAACTCGAACGATGCTCAACCTACTGCACTGTATCCACAAAAACATACGTTTGAACGTATGAATGGAGGCGCAGCTGGCAGGGTTGCACTGTAAACATTACCTTGGATGCCTTTATTAACCGGATTGCAGATGAGAGTGCTTGGAGGAGGATTAAGGATTACCATCAGTATGGTCCGCGTCTCCATGTCATCGGAAACTAACCGTGAAACGCCCCTCCGAACCTCGAGCTACCTTGGGGTTTGGAAGTCGTGAAAATATCCACCAAAAGTATGAATACCAACAAGCCATCACAGGTTATGATACTCTCGTAGAATTTACTTAAATTCTGCCTGCGCTTAACTCGCCCCACAATATGTTTGGAGAGTCGAGACTAATTGTCAATGGTAGAGGTACGAAATGATAGAAACGGTGAACTAAGGATGAGTGGACATTACAGCATTACAGCCAATCGATCCACTTTGCATCCTCGAAAGGATTTTAGACGTCGATATAAATCCCTGCCCTGTCCATATCATTTGAGGAATACGCAGTAACGTGTTAGGTTCACGGGCGCTACCAATCAACCACACGAACCTATAGGCACTGAAGCCAAAAAGAAAGACAGAAAGTGCCACGTCTGAAACATGGAAACATTTTCTGGTACTCCGATGTAGAAGCTGGATGGAAGTAAGAGAAACACAACTTTACTTGAAACAGAAACCCCACAGTTTGAGAAGTCTCCCTTTTCTTCTTCATCTATAGTGTAGCTCGTGTAGGTTCATCAAAACCTTATGAGATGAATCCGATGTAACTTGCATGTTAGTTGTAAGTTGTGACGCAATCACAAAAGCAAATACATGAACGGGTGTTTGAAGACCAGACTCGCAAAAGAAGACATTTGGGTATCAATCTCTAGCAATACATCCAATTCCCAATTCCCAAATCCCAACTTCCACCCACTGAAACTGCAACAGTACCAAAATACATCAACACGGAAATATCGTATCTTCTAGAGATTAAAATATGCATTGATAAATTGATAGAGATTCAATCTTCTTGTATGTTTGACGATTGATATGGATTTCAATCCCATGACTAACAGGCGAGCGATGGCATGTAATAATTGTAATAATTTATCATCCGAGTTCACACGAAGAGAGAAATGACATTGTACCAAAGTGTCTTAGATGTCCATATCCTATTATCCTCCCTCTACCATGCCATCCCTTATACTAACCATAACCTTATAACATTGACCGTCAATTTTCCTCTTCGCTTCTCGACTTCTCCTCTTCCCCTTCATTGACTCGATCGAGTGACTCACTCAGCCTTATTAAACAAACTTCTCCATACTGGTAACATACCTAACATTGTCTCAAACAGCTTTCCGACATTAAACTGTCATCTGGTGAAGTAACTTTGAAGATCAAGTTGCACATCTCTCTCTAATATCCTTACTAATCAACTCCCAAAAGGGAACGATTCGTTTACATCCCACCCAACCTCGAGCCAACCAAACCACCAGCCACAACTACAAATAGCTACACACACCTGTACAGAGTATTCCAAGGTTATTACATTGCATTACATACCAGCCATACTGCATGCGAAATCCTTCGTTCGGCTCCATACAAGTGGATGGAATACGGCTCCGACTTTTCACATTCGCAAGCTTCAACCGTGGAAAGAGTCTTACGGAATATGTATAGTTGATTGATTGATCCACCAGATCCTCGCGACTTACTTTAATCCTCTGGCTTTGATCACCAGATTTCTGCAGAGGGTTCTTTACATACACATATACACATATACATACAAACATGCAACTAATATTTCTCATTCGTCCTCTCATTCATCTCCTCATTCATCCCCTCATTCCTCTCCTCCAAGTAAGTAAGCAAGCAAACACAAAGCCTCACTCTACAACAATCTCTCCATATACCGTATACGATCGTACCCTAAAGCCCACCCACCTATGCACAAATCTATAAGAACTGTCCCTCCCGCTCTAGGCTGCGAATGATCCAATTTATCCATCCCATTATCAAGAACCATCTACCCAATTGAAAACCAAGATATCCCCCATTTATCAGATATTGATGTCAAAGTAGCAAATCCCAAATGCGTATTTCTCCTGATTCGTCTCTAGACGACATTAGAAACCTAGCTGATCCCAACCTTCATCGGCGCTGATACCCAACATGGATTACGTGATGAGGGGGTCTCACAAGCTTATCGTTCGCTTTTTTACCTATATGTGATGTAGATTCCGTAGCACGCTGCTCAATGTTAGCTCTTTCAAGCTATCCGATACTTACCCAATTCTCATTATATGGCATATCATCTCACAGAGCCTCAACTGGCGAAACTAGCACTTCACATTCCACAACATACAAATCCGAGGTATGAAACTGTATCAAGAGTCCAAGAAGTAACAAATCTAGGTATATTTGCAGTTCAACAATCCATAACCATTCCATGTATGCAATATCCTGTTCCACTGCTAAAAGCATAAAACCTCCCTTACCTAACGCCATATATCATACAGCATATACATACGCCTGAGCCTGTGTCGTCCGATGTAGCCAATCCCTCATCAAGTTTTGATACCCAACACCCATCAAATGCCACATCAATCCCGATCCTCCACTACAACCACATTCTTTGATTTTGACCAGCTGCAAGAAGTAAATATTTATCTTCCTGGCATTTGTCCCATATTCATCATTTGATTCTTTTGGGCTTCCTGCATCATCCTCTGTCTCATCATTTCGTTTTGCATCTTTTGCTGATGTTGTTGCTGTTGCTGCTGCAATTGATTTTGATTTTGGTTGAGACCGGGCATTCCCATATTCTGTTGACCTTGCTGCTGATGTTGCTGCATTTGGCCCATACCAACCATGCCGCCCATGCCGCCTTGTACCATTTGTCCCTGTCCCTGCCCTTGACTTTGCGCCATCCCATTTTGTCCTGTCATATTCTGTACACTCTGCCCCATGTCACCCTGTTTCTGCCCTGCTGCCTGCATTAGACTCACGTGTTGCTGTGCCTGCGCTTGTGCCCGACCTGATGCGTTTGGTGGCCCAGCCGGTGTATCTTTCTTAGGATCTACGCCTGGATAAAGGGCCTGTAATCGTTTATATGCCTCCTTTAAAATCTCTCTCCGATCTTCGTGCCCCTCTTCGGGTTTTGATGATGGATCGTCGTCATTCGTGGGCGCAGATATAGGGATGGTATGCGCGGGTTTATATGTAAGAGTTGGTGCAAACATGATTGCGGGGTGCAAGGGAGTCTGAGCTGTGGGCTTGTGGGAGCGATCGGCGATTGCGGCAAGGTAAGCTAGATTCGATTGTAGTCGTCGCATACAACTTCAGATTCGTTAGTAAATGCTTCAGCCTCAACACGTATAGGGGACAAACTGCATATATTCGTTCGCTAGAAGTTTATGCTCTGCCTCAAGCGATGACTTCTCAGCGGGATCCTCCGTTTTGTTGTTCTTCAAATCATTCTGTAGAGCTATTATCCGCATTACTTCTAACAACATTTCTCGATTGATATCTAGTAGTACGGTGACCCTTTCCTTCTCTCGAAGCTCTGATCCAGGACTTAATGGCGTACTCATGGCAGCTCCTGCGTTTTCAGAATTTCGCACACCTGGCGGGAAGCTTGGGGTCTGCGGAGTCAGGCTCATTCCTCCTTGTTGACTGTTATTAGGGGTTTGATGGTGTTGCTGATTGGGATTCGGTGGTACAGCAAATTGTGCGTTTGACGCGCTTGGTGGTGTGCTCTGGGGAAAATTTCCGTAGGGAGAAACACGGGAAGTCGCCGACGTCGGCGTCGGTGTAGAGGATGGCGGTGGCTGCATACGCTGTATTTGATGCTGCTGCTGTTGTGGTATCATTGCGGAAGGGTTCATCCCATATTGTGGGGGCGCATTTGATGCAGTCGGCATGAAGTTTGTAGGGTGTGAGACGGATGAGGATGTAGCGATATTGCTGCCGTAAGGAGAGCTTGTATACGGCGTTTGATAGGAAGAAACTACTTAGAAACTTATCAGTCATCTTGCTCTCTTTGACCACCACTGTGAGAAGTAATAAGTTGCCGCCTGCCTTTCTGCTTAACGTGAATGACTGTATGTATGTTCGACACCTCGCATGCCCTTCATAGTCTGCTTCACAGGAGCCATGTAGTCTTTCATCTGACATCGACGCGTGCACAAGATATGCAGCAGCAATATTCTCTTATAGCAGATTTGCAGAAGAATTATTAAAATATGCGACTCACCATTTCCACCAGGCATGTGCGCCAAACCGCTGTTCTGCATCATTCCCATTCCACCGGCATTACCAGCCATGCCGGGGCCAGATACGCCGTAAGGTGATTGATGACCTCCGGGCCCGTATTGTTGAGCATTATACATCATGTGCTGAGGCTGTTGTTGACCTGGTTGATGGAGATTTTGGGGAGCTTGTGGATGGCCGCCATTGGGGTTGAAAGACTGCGTATTGTTCCCCTGTCCAAAAGAGTAATTTGGTGCATACATGGCTCTTGGAAGTCAATAAAGGGGCCTATGATAGGCTGCCTATCATAATCTCAAGTCGCACATACGCCGCACGGCAATGATTTAGCTGGGAATTGCTAGATCAACTTTCGTTCGTTCGGGAATGTGCGTAAGGCAATGCCAAGCGTCTTTGATTCCCGTTGGGTGGTCTCGTTTCGGGAAGTTTTTTCTGGGGTAATTTGGAGATGGGTGGGCTGTAGGATGTGGGATGGGTAGATGACCGTCTCTTGAGCTACTTTTTTGCTGTCCTCATTCTTTTCCAGTATTACGATGTGGGTTGTTTTCTGGGGTGTGAGAAAATAATGCGCGTTTGCCTTCGGATGCATTGTAACAAGAACCGAGCTCAAATTTAGTAAGGATTTTTAACCGAACTCATATCGAGTGGTACAAATGTAATCTAGACCAGGAATGTAAACATCATCTGGAAACGTTTCATGCTAGTTGTACATTTAAAAGGCGATATAGAAAGATTTGTATGGCCTCAAATCTTTCAGGATGCTTTGATGAGCGAAGCGACCGATATGAGTTCTCAGAATTTGATTCTCACGGCACCGTTGTCGCCCCATTCTTTGACGGTTGATAGAAATCTTTGCTAGAATCAAAATGATGGGCATTACTTCAATTACTGCACATCTTTAACCCGCATCTGCTTAGTGGTAAGATCGGATTGTGCATGCATGACAACATGCTCCTAGCGATGCACAATCATTGGCTTACCGTTGTACAATGATTGATTCGTCTACTCTTACAATGTTTCTTGAAGTTTACGAGAGTCTTGAGGGCTTTGATATATGCATTGCTGTGCAAACAAACTTCTTGTACCTGGCGGCGCTTTCGTCGGGAAGGACATATGCATGTTCGTCTCCGTAGGGATTAGGTACGGGTAATGGTAACGCAAGCAAGCATACAACTTCAGTTCCAGATAATCATTAATTTTTCGGTTCTATCGTTATGTTTACCTATAACCACTCGCTGACAACAAGCGACTAATTACCAATATGTGGCATATTTCGAATTTCCCCTTACAACATTTAAAAATTCTTGAGCAATAACTTTATCTGTTCCTTGAGAAGGGTGAAGTTCGTCGTACCACATATAGCCATCTAAGCTTCCTGGTTGCTTGGGACATGGTGATCCGGAGACAGCACAGAGAATGTATGATTTATCGACAACGGCTGGTGCTGGTAAATACTGCGTTGGATTGTTGTAAATGTCGGTAAGTAAAGAATTAGTATCGAAGATGGCGATCGACGCTCCTGGGTAACGCTTCTTGATTACTAGTTCAAATGGTACTCGGTAGTCGAATATGCCATTGACCAGTTGAGTATATTCTTTCATTTTCCCGCTGATTTCTGAAATGTTGCTTGGCTACGAATATGTGAGTTTAAACGCCACACGGAAAGAGTTGAGGTTCTCACTTTGTTGGGCCAATAATGGCTAGCATTCAATCCTCCTGCACCTGGCATCCCATACAATGGCGTTAGTTGTAACGGTGCATTATTCATAAGAACAAAATATCTGGCTCCGGTCTGGTAAATTCCGTCAAATCTATCGAAGATGCAATCGACGTAGTCTGGAATGGTTGTCCCATTCAAGGAAGAGTCTGTCAAAAAGGCACGCACTCCCAGATCGTTGGTACCTATCCACATTGAGTATACCGTATTGTCAAGCTTGCGGTTAGTGTAAAGAGTGTTGGTATTTGTTGATGAATTAATATACTTGACATCCGCAACGAACGCATCAACTTCATAGACAACATCAGGAAAAGGTCCAGAGATACTGGCCAAATATCGATTGATGATCTTATTAGAGCAGACTGCTCCAGCGACAGCATAATCATAAAGCTGGGCTCCGCTATAATTCGACACCCATCGATCCCAGGTTACTCCTCCACCAGCGGTCGAATTGCTGAATGGAAGTAAAGTTCCTGGTGGCGGTGCAGAGCCGTTGTGACTTTGGAAATAACTCAGTCTAGACTCGTCTGTATAGCTATTGTCAAATTAGTTTCAGCCAATCTCTCACACATGATTTTCCAAAAATGGTAAAAGTCCGTGAGGTTGATGAACATCAACTTACCTGTCTCCAAAAGCTACTAAATTCTCAAAGCGCGGAATCCAGCCATTTTTGTTTGCAGATGATGCCAAATCTGTCTCCGATGCATCAGGCATAGCAACTGACAACCCATATCCAGTAAATAGAGGAACTGAATACTTAGAGAACTTCATCTTGTCTATTATCCCAAATTCTAACCAAGACAGTAACGTAAACCACAAATGACAACAGCCAAGACATGACGAGACTTTCCCAGCTTTTATATCTACCCACCTTCAATTCATCCAGGAACGTCCGGATCTCATATTAAGTTTGCGGAGTATCATCCAACTCTCGTGTTATTATTTTTCCGAACCTTGGAAAGCTAAAAATTTACGAGCAGCAAGCTGTACAGAGTAGACGGTATACCCCGCACAAAGCACCCCCGCGATACGTCAAGGTAAATGCCGGTTGAATAGACGAAAATGCTATTCTACCGAAGTAGCGTATCGGAGAAGGAGAAGTTTCCATATTTTCAGACGAAAGCTTGGGATCGTCCGGAGTTCCGATGATCGATTAGATAACCGTTCGTAATACCTGTCAATTAGAGAGGTGACAACTCATTGTCGGCCATGGTTTCAAGATGTCCACCGTTATCAACGTTCTCCAGACCGCCTCATCTCCGATCAGGATGACGAGATCCTCATCCAATTAGGTAACATATTTAGTAGCCGTATCAAGTGCATCTAGGCTGAATTCATCACATGAGCTTTTTAGTGGGAACTTTAGACGACGGGCGAATGTGGATGAAGAGACACGAATGCGTGTTTATTTTAAGCATTGTAGTTGAAGGAAAGGGAACCATGTGCCCGTCATTCGCCTCTTTTTCCTTCTTGATAAAGCTTCAACGCTCGTGATTTGACTCGTTATGTGTATTCATGATGAAGCAATCGCGCAATGTCTATTGAGGGAACAGATCAATCCTAAAAAGCAGTTATTGGAATATAAGGCGAGTTCCTGATCTTGAGATTATGAACATAGAGGACAAGAAGGAAGAGATTAGAAAATCCGTTTAATTCACGGCACGATTTATCTTGAACATATATGTGTAACGTGCACATCTAAAGAATCCTCATGCATCTGGCCGTACTCTTGTCTTCCGATGGGATAGTCCTTATCCTTCTTCCACCAATGTGATTGTGTACGAGCTGGCACCTGTGTTGTTCTAGAGCCCTTGTGTCTAGAAGTGCACAAAGGAGAGCTTCCTTCTGGACCGTCTCTCTAGTTTAAGACTCTATTATTGTCCCAATCTATATCATGCAATCACTATCATACTCTCGTACATCATCATATAACCCACCATATTACCAATGATTCAGCCTAGTATTGAGGGCGCGCACTGCACGCATTGTTTTGAAGTCCTTGTACCCCGGGTGGGAGTGCAAATACAAAGAAGACCCCCTTATGACCTTCACCCCCCAAAGCCTTATGATCTATGCTTATTCCAATGTATGTTGATATCTCAACTGATGTAATCATATTAATTGATGTGATTATCTCATCTAACATGATTCTTCCAATCTATATCAACATCTCAACTGGATTCAATATCTCAACTGGTATGATTACCTTAACTGACATGATTGTCCCGATTGATATCAACATCTCAAATGTTATCAATATCTCAACTAATATGATTAAGTTAGCTTAATTGATATGATTGTTCCAGTTTATATCAATATCCCAATTCATACAAAACAATCACTCTCATACTTTACTACATAACTACATTTTCAGTAACTTCTAGGCAAGCCAAGAACCTTCTCTCCAACATAATTCATGATCATCTCTCTTGAAACTGGTGCAATTCTTGGAACAAAACACTCTCTCAAGTATCTCTCAACATGATATTCCTGGGCGTAGCCCATGCCGCCCAAACTTAATACGCTCCTCTCACAGGCAGTAAAGGCCGCTTCAGCTGCTAGATACTTTGCACTGTTGCACGCAACACCAACGGCTGCCTGGGTTATTGTCTGATCCGTCGTTGAGCTATCATACAATTTCGCAGCATGATAAGTTGCCAGCTTTGCGGCTTCGAGGTGCATGTATGCATCGGCCAATGGGTGCTGGATACCTTGATTCATACCGATAGGTCGACCAAAGACAATTCTTTCTTTTGCATACTGGGAAGCTCGGTACAGAGCAGCATACCCGAGACCTAGTGCTTCGCCTGCCAACAGACATCGTTCAGCGTTCATGCCACGGAGTACAATTTTGAAACCTTGCCCTTCTTTGCCGATTAACGAATCACTATTAACAATATAATTGTCGAAGAAAACTTCGTTTGCATCAATAGCACGCCCACCCATCTTTTTGATTTTCTTGAGTTCGAGACCGGGCTGTTTAGGATCGAAATCGATGAAGAAAAGGGATAAACCTTCAGAAGGCTTTGTCACTTCTTCCAATGGAGTAGTCCTAGCCAATAGCACCATCTTCGTCGCAACCTGTGCTGAGGAAATCCAAATCTTCTGACCCGATATTTTGTAAGTATCGCCTTCACGCGTAGCTCGGGTTCTAAGCTTGAGAGTGTCCAAACCAGTATTGGGTTCGGTGACTCCAAAACATGCTCGCCAGGTACCGTCGATCAACTTAGGCAACATCCTTTGACGTTGCGAGGCAGTGGCAAATTTAGCCACAGGCTGGGTAGCATAAACGTCTGATATATATGGATCAGCATTGCAATGTTTTGAATCACTGAAACCACAACATTCTTTGGGATTGTTAAAGGTTGAGGGTCCCGTCTGATCACCAAGGCAATGGGAAACTTTCGACGGGATACAATCTCAGCATATTTGGGCTAGACGAACTTGCATGTATACTTTGTGCACCTGCCATGCCTCCACCGCTCTCAGATATGGTCTGCAAAAGCATCGTGGCTTCCGAGATTCCAAGACCCGATCCTCCAAGTTCTTCCGGAAGTGCAATACCAATCCAGCCACCCTTTGCCAGATCTCGATGCAAATCATGAGGATATTCCCCGGTTTCATCACGCTTTGCCCAGTATTCCTGATATATTCAGTGAGAAGTTGCGGCAGTTTGAACCGGAATAGTCTTCTTACATCCGGATATTTTGAGCAAATTTTTGCAATGGCCTCTCGAACCTCCAATTGTGTGTCTGAAAATCCACTTGTTTCCATCAGTGTATTGGCTCTTAGGGATGTCGAAGTTGTGAATGCTCTCCTGGCAACGACATTTTGATCTAGTCTTAGGCCTAATAGCCTAGAAATGTTGGAAACTCTAGTGCAAATCATTATGTTGGTGAATCAAAATTGGAAATGTCTTTCTTCATCAATATGTAGGCTAATGTTTCAATCCATTCGACTCTTTTCATGAATAGATCAAAAGTGGTAGTCAGTCCTGTTGTTGATCCCCGCGGCTGTTCGAAACAAGTGGGAATTGACCGCTTGCAAAACCCTTCAAGAATCCAATTGTTCCATTCTAATTGGGAGAATTGGTAATTTTAAAATGGATTATAATGCAGTAAAAAGGCTCTATTGAATACCTTGAACTCACATGATTATATTTGTGGCTGGATTGTCATTGCGTGCGAGCTGGCGCCCATGTTGTCCTAGAGCCCTTGTGTCTGGGTGTACAGATAACCTAACATGAAAAGACAGACCTTATGATTGTTCCAATGGGTATCATACAAACAGTCTCATATTATTATATGTTATTACCATGTAATTATACGATTTACCTAGTTTAGTAAAGAGACTCTGTACTGTACACGAAATTTTCTATAAACCTCGATACAATGATTTTATCCCAGCCTATAAAAGTAGAGTTTATTAGGATGAGATAGTGTCGTGAAACAGTCATGTGATTCAGAATTTAGGGATGAGCCGTTGACGCGTGGGGGCAACCAAAACAATCATGCGAAGTACAGCATCACTAAGTTTACGACTTTTAAGACTTCAGCTCATACTCTCATGACCACCACCACGCCAATCGCCCAACCTTCAATTAATGCCAATAGCTTACAAAGAAATGGTCTTGTATTCTTGCGAGTAATTAATCACGTCAAATTATTCGGTACTTCATAACACGACGCGCTGTTTCGAACAGCAGAAAAAATGGCGGCAGTGCGACCAAACAAACGATTGCAAGTAGGGTCGAAAGGGTGGATAGCAGAGGAGCGATCAAACGCGCTGCAGCTTGCAGCAGCAGAGGCAGAGGAGTTTACATTTGCTGCCAGGAATGAGATTGACTGGTTGAATGAACATATGGCAGAAATATTCAACAAGAATCAAGTGTATGTAAACATACCTGCAAATTGGGCACGAGCTAACCTTATGTCCTTTAGGAACGTTGCCGAAATATTCAAAACGCCGGGGAAGTTACGTGGGAAGACACCTAGAACAGCTAGGAAACTAAATCAATTGGAAGTGCGCGCAGTATGTCTATCAATTGTATGTAGCGGTTTATACTGATATCTAGCAGCCATTATCCGATGTCTTTTCGGCAACACCGCAAGGAGCCCCAAGTCCATTTAGACAAGCCCATCACGAGCGATCACCCCCAAAATTTCGAGTAGCAGAGGACGCCCCGACGGAACCTCAAGAGGAACCTACTCAATCGCAACCCACACCTTCGCAACCTACATCTTCACATCATCCATCTAGCTCTGGCACTGCGCAGAGCAGTGCTCAGCGCAAATCTCTCATCAACGCACTTGATTCTGGTTATTATGGAAGTCAGCTTGAGGAGGCGACGCAACCTAATACTCAACCTACCGAATTAGAACCATTCGCAACAAGCCCACCCCGACAATTCATACCCCGGGAAGATACAATCGAGAATGAAGAAAATGAAGAGATTGCAAGTAATGCAGGTAACATAGACAATGAAGAAGAGAGGCCCGAGGAAGAGATAGCCCCCGTCGAAGAGAGTTCACTCATAAAGTTAGAGTCTGAAGAGCAACGAACTGTCGAGGTTTCGTTTCAATCTGCACAAGGAGGTTCGCCAATAGCGCCCATCGTTGAGGTAGAAGCACAGACAGAAACAGGGACAGAAGCTCAACAAGTTGAGGACGGAGAACAAGACAGGGAGCCAACAAACGGGGACCAGGTCATGGGAGATGTCGAGTATCCAAATCTCGAGTTACAGTCTCATGACCAGAGCCTAGTTCATTCGTCACCGGAAAAGCGTCCACAACAGAAATCTCCATCTAAATCTCCCGCAAGGGCGGAATCTCCCTTCAAAGAACCCTCGGTAGAGCCACAGTCTTCACCATCTGCACCTCAAGACGACCCCCAAGATGAGGATGAGCAGATGGATGATATTCCTGATGCTCAATCTGCTTCCGAGGGATCAAGTCCCATACGCCCTATTTTCCGCAAAAGTAGTTTGAATTTTGCTTCTCTACCTGCGCGAGATTTATCCAAGAAAAGTCTCGGGCATCGTACTTCGCGAACGAGCCATCTAGATCAGGCACGCACTAGTCATTATGGTCGGCCCACGGGCGGAAAGAGTCTGGGCAACGTCAAAGAAGATCTCGCAAACAAAAATGAAGACGAAATGGATGTTGATGAAATGCATGAGTCGACTGGACGGGAAGAATCCGAAGCCGAAACATTACTGGCACGTATTCACAATAAAACGTCGACACAACGTCTTCAGGACCAGATCAGTATGCTTGGTCAGTCTCAGCCTACAACAAGACCTGCCTCGAAGTCTCTTGTAGGTGGCATAATACCCTCACGCCAGTCGATACAAGCGACTCAACCTCCAACGCCACAACATAGACGAGATGAGGCATCCCCATCATCAAAAGACAAGCCCTTCGCGACTCCAGGTGCCTTCCCTGAAGATGAGGATAGCTGGATTGGACCACCAACAACAGCCTTGCATGGAAAGTCGATTTTCAGCCCTCGCCCAACCATTGCCAAGAATCACACTGCAGATGTGATGGAGAGTGTGCATGGCAAAGAAACTGTTGGTGGATCAGAATTCATCGTTCCCGATAATGGAGATGAAGCAAGGCAATTATCGCCAGTCCGTGAAACCAATGTAAGAGGACTAACTAAATCTATCTCGACTTCATTCATCTCCTCGCCTAAGAGAGCTGCTGGGCCACAAAGTCCTAAAAAATTGATGTCGGTCTCCAACCCAAATCTTCCCATTAATGCAATTGATGAGGATTCTACAACTCCTCCGAAGTCTCCACCCAGGACTCTTCGGGGAAGCCCGTTGAAGGTTGCGAAAGACAAATTTTCCTCAATTTTGAAATCAGGAAAGACTTTATTTGCAAGTAGCGCAGCTGCAAGTGCCGAAGCAAAAATTGAAACTCTATCATCATCTACAAGAATTCACCAGAATAGCGTGTCTTCCTTTGAAGATGTACTTCAGAATGAGAACAGCGATGCGGAAGTCTCGTATCCCAAAATGGATATGCGTTTCAATGATTCAATTCCCAAACGTATTCAAAGTCCTGTCAAAGCTACCACCCGCAAAACTAGAGCCTCTACTGAAAAGGAAGAGAAACGCAAAGAAGAGGCCGCTAGAGAGGCTAGAGAGGCTAGAGAGGCCAAAGAAGCCAAAGAAGCACAAAAGATGAATGATCAATTGGAGAAGGCACGCATGAAGGTCAAAGAGGACGCACGTGTTTATCATGAAGAGCAAGAGCGAGCCGCAGCCATGCAAAGGGAAGTAATCTCCCGGAAAGAACCAGAAAAATTGGCCAAGGCGAGTCAAGTTGAAGTGCCAAAAGCAACTCGAGGTAGTCCACGAAGGACGAAAGCCCAGTTGGAAGCAGAGGCCATAGCAAGTACAGCTTCATCCGCGAATATGTCTTCCAGTAAGGACACCGATATGACCGATGCACCAGCATCAATGCCACCGCCTTCTATTCCAAGACCAAAGTCTCAGATTGGGCGACCACAGGCTAAACGGCCATTGAGACCAGTGAAAGACACTGCTCCCAAAGCCAAGGCACCAGCGACTGTGATACGTGTCGACACTGGCTCCTCACGTGGTCAGCAATATCATCCATCTAACACAACACTTGCAGCAACCTTGGAGCAGTCCTTACAATCTTCACAAGGTGGACACCTACGAAACAAAGCTAGCTCTAGTTCGCTACAGAGCAAATCTTCGAATAACAGCTTCAAGGCGCAAGCCAACAAAGCCCTAGAAGCAGCTGCACGAAAGAAAGAGGCTGATGAACTTGCTGCTCAACAAAGAAGGGATGCGAAGTTGGAAATGGAACGCCAGCGAGCTGTTACAAAGGAAGAGCAAAAGCGACAGAATGAGCTAACTATCAGGCGTGACCAGGAGCGTCAACGGGAGCAGCAGAAGGAAATCAGTCTTAGCGAGGCTAACAAAAGGGCCATCGAAAGGGCGAAGCAAAAGAGAGCTCCTCCGCCAGCTATCCGACCTCAGCAAAATACTGATCAGTGGCTTGAGAAGTCATTGCCACCAATTCCACTTCAAAGAAATGACCTAGGCGGGCAAGCAAAAGCTACCCGTATGAACACCGCCAAAGCACCGCCAAAGAGAGCTTTGCTAGAGAACAATGAAGAAATTGCTCGTCCACCAGTTCAGCGAAATGCTCCTTCAATTCACGGTGACCCCCGCACCAAACGCCAAAGGACCAACGAGTATCTTGATGAAGAAGATGAATTGACGGAGTCTCATCCCAAAATGACTGCCCCCCCAATTCGACAATCTAGTATTCGTCCAAAGGTAAGCCTACATCCATGATCAGTTCAAATAGCCATACTAACTAAAGATAGGAGATGCCCACAAAATCATTGTTTGCAAGCGGATATGCTCATGCTCCACCTCCTGCTAATCTACAAAGGTCTACTATTGTTTCACAACACCAGAATAAAATTGGCAATCCCATGGATATGACTCAGGTTTCCAAGGGAGCCATTCCATTTGCATCAAGCTCAAATGGACAGTCATACAAAACACCCGCACGTAATGTAAGTCATGCCTCGGCAAAGGCGGCAAAATCTGCAGCAAAATCATCACCACGATACGAGAATGGAGAGAACATTGTTCTTCCCGAAATACCTAGTGATAGCGAAGACGAAGATGATGATGATGAAAAAGAGAAGAAAGCATTTCAAGGGCTTGGCTGGACAGATTCTCCTGAGATTCGCAAACAATTGGCACTCCAGGAAACCATTGATCCATCTAAGATTTTCGGACGACCCCAAGCCTTGAACATGGAAGAAGTGTTCGATAAAAGTAAGGATCGATTCCACAAATTCAGGGCTAGGACATCCAGTGCCAATTGGAGTGGATCTGATCGCCTTACCGAAGAGGAGGTGCGTAAGGATTTAGAAGGGAGAGATCGTGTACGAAGGCAAGGTGGATGGAGTTATGATCCCTCATTTTAAGCTGCGCATCTCAGTAAGAGAGACCAGTGTCTCAGCTACTGCTCAAGATATTCACGCAGAGGGGCATGTGTCTTTTCACGTTTTGAGTACGGTCATCAGGCAGGAAATTTTATGGTTTCTGAATGATTTGAATTCTGGATAACAGAATTCTGTTGCGCGATGATGTTAGAGCCATGACAAGGCTTATCATGGAGTGGCGATGTAGTATGAACTTGATTCAACAGGAGTTTGGGGGAAACAATAATATATGAAGCGAAAATTAATCGTTCTCGCAAAGGGATTGGAGTAACTCGTACCGAAATACAAACAAACAATGAAATATGAACAAGTAAAAAATATAATGATAAGTGGATATTACTCTGATGATTTACATGTGTGATGATGATGTGGTTTTATGTCTTTGAGGTTCTTACTACGATTACTTACAACTGCAATAATAGAGTGATTAATCTATGGACTTTATCCCGTCTGATGAGCTTTCTTGGAGGAAAGTTGTAGAAATTGAGGTTATTCGGACAATTGTGTATTTAACAAGTCTTACAAGTCATCGAACAATGTCTCGTTCCTACCTACGGACCAAAGATCCTCAGCTCACAGATTGATAGACTGACCGCCTTCTATATTCAATCATCGATCATCAAGAAAAAGTAGGAAGCAGGCAAGAAATTGATATCCATGCGAATAGCAATCTAGGTTCTACCAGAAATAAGCAGTTAATGAAGCAAGAAACATGAGCGAAGAGATGAAGAACTGGAGAGATCGCGATCCATGGTATCATTTGTTTCGGAACTTAGTTTTGTTTTCCAGGAATCCTCATATACTTCTTTACCACTGGACCTAGGTCCCACGAGATCTGCATCTGCATCTGCATCCGTAGGTCTACTACTGCAGTCCAGAATGGTCACTGCTTTCCTGCTTCCCATATGGATCATCGGTGGTGACATCTTTCTCGTATGTATGTATCTTGCTCTAGATGCTGTCTCTACGTCATTTTTGTGGTGTTTCTGTAACGTCAAGATTGAAGTGGGATTTTGTTGTGTTCATTGGATGGATGTGTACTTCGTACCAGTATATCTCCTAGCTAGCGTGCACATTTGAATCTTTGATCTGAGACGGTACGGCTTGGATATCGGAAATCTGTTTGTTTACCTACTTCTATAGAAAAAGAAGTCCGTTTGGTATAGTTGAATATACTTCTCGCCTGTGCCGTATCTCTTGTCTCTTGATCAATAAGATACCTAGTAGGGCGATCAAAAGTACCTGGCAATCATCTGATCTCTACCTATGACCAAATCAAGCTCAAATGATATACTAGGTTAGTCAATAAGCTCAATGGGTATATTCACCAGCTTTGATGAATACATAGGTGTGTGTACATGTATATGTATTATGAATAAATGTACAATTTGGATATGTGTGAATCGTTTGATTTAAATGAATCCAGCAATGACATGATATCAATGATATCAATGACAGGTGACAGGTAAAAGAAATACAATTACCCAGTACCTACCTACCCGACGAAAGGAATCACTGTTTTCAGGGTCTTGGTCTGTGGATCATCGGCGATTATTTAGCCGCCTCCCTCCACCTTTCACCTGTAAACAAATCCACCTAGTGCTGTTTTCTACCGCCTCTACCTCTACCTTTACCTTTACCTTTACCTTTACCTCAAAATAGGTATCACAAGCTAAAAGAAAGTCTCTCTTGCTACTATTTTGCTGCCAATTTGGACGGAGTGATACATACGCCCGCCCCTTCCTTTCATTTTAACTTCAACATCACCTGGATACCAAAAAAAATATATACTTCCTTATCTACTGAACAGTATTGCAGGATAAGTTGCGCACGAATTCATACATACAGCCCACCTCAAGATTTATTATTTCCAGGTCAATTTAAATTAAACAGGGTAGCTGGGCCAACACAGGATCTTTTCCACTTCCTCTCGCTATCACAACCAAAACTCCAGAAGTCTTTTCAAATTCTAAGCCTCAATTTCCGAATGAATCTTCAGTGTAACCAATAAATCATTGTCCGCCACCAGGTCCAATAATCCAGTTCGTTGTTTCGACTTATAAAGCACCAGGATCTTTTCCATATACGTTTTGAGCTTTGCAACTGAATCTGGTCCGAACCGCCCCTTCAATTATGGTGAAGGCAGATTTCGATCGGGATTACTATGCTGATCTCGAGATTGATTCAAGTGCATCGATAAATGAGATTAAGAAGCAATTTAGGAAACTTGGTACACAACCCTCCACCTCAGCCTTCCCCGCGCTCAAAGCTAACCTCTTTCTCTTGATAGCTCTCGTGTACCATCCAGATCGTAATTTAGGAAAGGAAAGCGATATAACTGCCAAATTCCAAGCCATTCAATCCGCACACGAAGTTCTTACGGATCCGTCAGAGCGACAAAGATATGACGATGCTCGATCGAGGTTTAGATATACATCCGCTTCAGCTTTCAGATCTACGAAAGGAAATCCTTATTCAAATTATGGCTCCGAATTCCCTCGTCCGCCCAAACCACCGCAATATCGACCCAATAGAAATCCTCCCCCACAATCTGCTGGTGCTGCGAGATATTCCACTTTCACAACACCGAAACAATCAGCCAGCGCGGCGGCACAAGAAGGGCCCGAGGCGAGGAAAAGTACGTTCAATGCATGGGAGAGCATGAAGGGTCACCAGAAGACACCATCATCCGGTTACAGAACTGGTTCAGGCCCGACATGGACTACACCAAAAGCAGCGCCCAAGGAGTACACTTCTCAGCCAAGTCGTGAAGATAGCAGCTTCAGGGGCTATAATGTTCCTCCAAGAGCCAAGCCAGGATTCGACGACTACACGTCTGACCCTCCACGAAAACCAAGTAATCCTCCACCTCCTATACCAAAAAGAAATGGGTTCATGCCTAGCAATCCAGGAGCGGATGAGCCATCTGCAGGAAAGGGCAATTACTCTACCTCCCGTGTCAATAGAAACATGCCGCCACCACCGCCACCAAGAGATTCCCCATCATTCGAGCGGGAACGTGAGAAGGAGGATACTCCACCTGATGCTCCACCCGTCAATCATAATACCCGTCCATCGGCGAAGACAAATGATCCGTTGCGACATGATCCTTTGCGACAATTCAGGACCGAAGAAGAGTCACCATACGAGCCTCGTATCAGTACACCATATGCCAGTGCCGGAGGAGAGAAGTTTGATCCATTTGACGCTGCCAATATAGGAAGGTCGAAGAGTACTCGAGAAAATGTTGCTGAACCAAAAAGTAGAAAGCCTATTCCACGTGCGGGATCTGATCCAAATTCGCCCTCCCCACGTCCAAATGGTACCGCAAAAAGTAGCCCCTCCAAGACGACACATGCATTTGCATCCTCTCCTGATTCATCGGATTCCGGTAATGGCCCAGAGATCAATCCTCAGAAACCACGGGTATTTGCCAAGCCTAGGAAACCTGCGCCCGCTCAAGAACAAAAACAGGCAGATGCTGCTCCACCAGAAACATCGAATCAAAGTAAGTGACTCTGAGGTTTTAACCCAAATTAAACGATCTCAGCATATAATGACCTACGTTTGCTAACCTCGTTACAGATGAAATTCCAGCCCAGGAAGAGCCTAAACCACAACCTTCAATGTATGATACATCTTCTAAGTACACTGCTTCTGACTCCAAGGAGCCGCTCCATCATATCAAGCATGCATCATTCCCTGGAACCCCTTCGCGTCCACCCCTTTTCAACTCTAAAAGCATGCAGGATGCATACAAAGAAAAGTACCCTGGTTCTTTTACTACTCCAAGAGAGCGTCCCACTGCATCACCTCTTAGTGGAGGTTCTCCTCGTCCTTCAGAAGGGTCTCAACCTGGAGATAAGGACAGATTGCATCGCAGCAGCGATGGGTCTGCGAACAAACTGAATTCTTTTGAGGCTGCTCAACACAATCTCGTCGACCGATTGGTAACCAACAAGGAACGGGCTCAGAACTCTCGTCAAAATGGTCATGTAAAGCCAACCAAGAGTATTAACCACCAGGTCCACAATGATAAGCCCACCTATTCGTTCAAATCGACGCCAGCCGAGACGAGTAACCCTGTCAAGAGGCCAAGTTTTGTCACTAAATCTCAATCTGCATTTTCAGTTGGCGATTCGCGTCTGAATTCTTTGTTGTTGGATAAATTGAATGCCCATGCTAATAGTAATTCTCATGATAGCTTCTCTATGAAACTGGATGATGAAATATTCTCTCCAACTCGGCCAAAGATCAATACAACATTTTCCTCTGAAGAGTGGCACGGAAAGTTTGAAGCTGGTGGTGATTATTTTGTACCAGAACGTAAGAGTACTCAGATCCCGGTTTCCTCTCATGTCCGTGCTCAGTCAGCAAGTCGGCCAACAAGAGGTCGATCTCCTGTCAAAAGCCGCTCAGCGGATTCGAAACCTTTCCCGGCATCAAGAGTCAACTCGGATACACCAATCGAATCCCCTGGTGGTACTAAGTTCTCTCCAGAGGACTGGGCAGAAAAATTTAAGCCTCAAACATTTGCTCCTCCGTCAATTCCATCGCCTACTAAGCCTACTGTTCCTACACGAATCGGGTCTCGAAGACCAAGAGTGCCTATCGCTAAGCCCACTGTTGGTTCTGCCGCGGTAGTTATCGAAGATGACAGCGCAGACGACAAGCCGCTTTTTACTGGTAGAAACCCCAAACCTCCAAAACCCCCAGCTAGTCCAGATGCAATGGATGTCGATTCTCCTCCCCCAGCTACACCAGCTCCTCCACCACAAGCTGCACCACCACCAGCAGCTGCACCGCCAGCAGCCCAGTCAACACAGGCTTCGCCGCCAAGGACCAATGTTGGACTGAAGATCAACACCGATCAACTCAAGAGATCTGCAGCCCCGTCCCAATCTCCGATTGATGCAGAGGGCCTGGGAGTGGAATTTCATGACATGAATCTTCAAGATCTTCTTTCTTCCCTTAATTTACCAAAGCCACCCAGAGCCCCGAAGTACACTCACGAATCGAGCGAATCATTGTCGCAAGGTATATATTTGTCGTCATTTACAGCTTATATGAGTGACTGGGATGTTTTTGCCAAGCGCATGTTGCTACATCTCATCGCACGCAAAAATCAAAATGATGGGCTAGGATCAAATCGTTGGGAAAATCCCCAGGGTCTTGACATCTACAGACGTGGTCTCAAAGAGGACGGAGCAGTTATGAGTCACTGGGTCGCGGCGATGGCGGGTCATGATCAAGCTATGAAAGAGTTTGCTATTCATAAGGAGCGTTTCAACATCGCAGAGGGCCAAGAGAGGGAGAGGCCAAGAAAGAAGACACACTAATTCAAATTTCGTGGGCACTTGTTTAAGAGTATTACCAGTCTGGTGATAGTACACTCCGAATTTTTGTTATTTGCTTAGTATTATTTTTCTAGAGATATATTAGGAGAGAAGACGTGGATGTGATGGGGAAGGTTCAATAAATAAGATGAAAAAAAAACGATGGGAGGGGATTCTGGTGATTCTGGTAATTAGATGGAATGGGTGCATTGGTTTGTGGACATGATTTGGAACAAATAAAAGGAATTCAATTGGTAGCATGGTCTGGAAGTTCTGGTTCTGGTTCGACTTCATTATTCACGTTGGTTTCATTGATTTGATTGATTGGCTTTTGAATGGCTTCGTTTCCAGATACCCCTTGGGATAAGGATGGATGAATGAATGGATTGGCATACATAATAAGTTTATATTTTTCATCGAACTGCTCAATAGAGCGAGAAGAAAGATATGATACGCGTAATTGAGGATATTTCATGGACTGGATGAATGACTGGGATGAATGAATGAAATGAGCATATTGCATACTCACATATATACATACATGCATACATATGAGATACTCCTTAGAACAAATAATTTTGTAGATTTAGTTGTTTATCTCTTTTGAAAGATGACATTCTTTTGAGATTTCTTATAAGATTCCTTTCGTGATTTTGATGGTGTGTGAGTGATTTAGTGTATGGGGTGTTTGGTTTGATGTGATGTGATGTGATAAGAGTTAGGTAGCTTGAGCGTATGAATGCATGATTGCATGATAATGAATGCGAAAAGAAATGTTTTGTGCATAATTAGGGGAAAAGACTCGATGATCCAAATGATATAGCTGATCGTATGGTATGGTATGGTATAGTAAAGCATGAGAAGGGGGAGTGTGATGTCAATACTAGGTTTGAAAGGAGAGGAGAGGAAATTTGGGAGGTCGAGAGGGAATGGAGAGGTGGTTTTGTGTATTTAGTATTTAGGTGGGATCTTACTATGGATAGGGAGTTGGGGGATCGGGACTGGAATTGGGGAAGGGGAAGGGGAAGGGGAAGGGGAAGAGGAGGGGGGGGAGAATGAGTTGTGTGGTGATGCCGTGGGGGGGAATGGACTGAGTGGTGATGGGGTGGGGGATGTGGGATGTGGAGGAGGAGGGTGGGAGATACATAATTTGTAAAAGTGGAATGATGATGAGGTGTGTAGATTATGAATGATGGATGATGAATGATGAATGGCTAGATGATGGACTGGAACATGTATTTAGAGACTCAGTGAGAGTGGAAGTAAAGCTAAGGAAAATTGGAACCATAATTATCTAAACACAGACCTAAAGAGAGGAATTGGAATGGGATACAGGTAAGCATACGTAATTACTCGGAATGGAACAGAAGGGAGTGTCTGTAACGGAGTAGATCCAACAATCGTACCAGCAATAGGTTGTAGGAAGAGGAGAAATGTTTTGAGGTTTGGGAGGTTGAGAGAGGAGTAGGTATGGGATGTGAAGTAAGTATGCGAAGGGGTAATTTTATGAATAGGGGGTGGGTTGGTGTGGTTGGGTATGGGTGGTTAGGGGATGGATGGATAGATGGATGGATGCTTATATTTAGATAGATTTACGTTAGTGAGTCTAGGGAGATAAGGAGATGAGAAGGGAATAGGAATGGAATGGAATGGAGTGGTGTGGAATGGCGTGGAATGAGTATTGGGATATGGGCATTTGATTTGCGTGTTTGTCTGGATCGATATGTATGTATATATATATCTGCGAATGTGTATATAAACGAATGTATACAAGATTTCGACGAATAGAAGTACATCCAATGAGATGGGCTCATAAACTTTTAGTCAAAATTGATAAAGTATTCAAAGATCGATGATGTGAAAGGTTTGAAAGATGAGAAATAGATATGTAGAGGATGATTTGAAGATAATTTGATCCGATTCCTTCTAGTATGATATAAAAACTTCAGGGGGGATTTACCCTCAGATATTGTGTTCGCAGTGAGTAGGTACCAAGTAGGTAGGTTTGGTACTTTTATCTTCAACTTTGAAGAATCAATCCAACTTCCTGGTCTAAGAAAGACCACGGTGTCATCCATGATTTGGTTTACAGTCTTATGATAAACCGCTGGTCGAAACATAGGTGCTCGTAAAACTTAAACGGAATGGGAAGTGGAAATAGATGGGGGGGGTTGTAGCGTATCTATTTGAATGGTATATAGCCCAGTATAAATCAATCGATTGCGAGTTATGAGTTTCGAAAACCCAGCTCAACCCAACTCATGATTTATCAAACCCAACTGCATTACTATAACTCAACCCACTCATTACAAGCACTATTCGGAGATCCAAATGAAAGTGAAATTTCCTCTGCGTTGAAATACTAAGGAAAATACTCAATATACTTTGCGTTGTGTGCGCGTGACAGGAAGGAGCATGCAACGTGAAATGATTATTATGCCATGCTACCATTACATGGTGCTGTACAAGACAAACATTTGCAAACTTGAATCAGCTATGGGTATCATGTCCCTCTTCTCGTGATGCTTCACTTCTTACTACCTTTCCAGAAGCTCCTTGCATTCAATCTGGCCCTCGCTCATTTTCCAGGGAATTCCAAACCACAGTATGCCTCTCAGCAACAAAACTAAAATCACCCTCCAAAGATGCCATCTACCCAATGCTCACGAAGCGTGCATAATCCTGCAGCTAGCAGTGATATGAAATCTTTCGCACACGTGTAATCGCACTATCAATGCATCTTTCACACCTCTATTGATCACCTTCTCGACTTGCTTTGAAAGTTGGACTTTAGAATATGCCACATTCTTACCCGCCGTGAAGTTTTCGCCTCAATCTCAGTCTCGACTCTGTTCTCGAAGTATCTCTGTTGTATGCTGATAAGTTCTCCAGGGTCTTCTCTCGACGAGTCTGCCGAGCGTGGATTCTGTGAAAAATCTTGATAGGTAAGTATATGTGCGCGATGTAGTTGTCGTGAGTCAGCGCATTGAAGCTGGTGAGATATTTGTGTGTGTAAATCATGCACTGGGCGGGAATTTGAGAAATCTGCAATCACCTTGTGTTGTTAGTACGCATCACTGTTTCCACTTGCTCACTTGTTCACTTACTCACTCACCATCTTGAACCCTCTGTTAAATAGAGTTCTGCTCATCCCATACATCTCAACATTCGGTGTCAACGCGTAGGATACACCATGCTTAGTATCGTGAAATGTAGAAAATGATCTCCATTCCATTTCACTTGATCCAAAAGCGCCAGGAATGTCTTGTATATATCACTGAAATCGACAGATCGTGAACTATAAAGACCCGTCGTGTAAAGCCCGACCTAAACCTTTCCTCTTCCTCGTTCGCTTCTGCAAAAATCTAGTCTTGTATGTAGGTCTCAATACAGTATCAGGGAGATGTAAGTCGACCACCCTACTTTCGGGTCACCCCTGTTTGGGGCCACCCTTTTACATCAAAAATCGTTTTTTTTAGCCTATTAATATCTTTATCAATATATAATCTAATATAATAAAAATTTGAATATATATAATTTAAGTTATTTTAAGTTTATTTTGAAAATTTGAAAATTTTAGGAATTTTCTGTATTGAGATTTAGAGCTTTAAAATATCGATTTTTAAATTTGTATGGGAATTATATACAAATTTGAAACTTTTATAAAATCTTTAATAACTTTTTAATAATAATTATTAAAAGAAAACTATATATCTTTTTGAAAGTTTTGAATTTAAATCTATATAGAAATTAAAAAAAAAATTAATAAAAATTAATAAATATAGAGATATAGTATATAGTGAGTTTAGAATAGTATAAATAATCCCTGTAATTTTGAGGGTATTCTTTTAAGTATCTATTTATGAGAAATTTTCTTTTTTTTTTCTAAATCCTTCAAAATAAATATATTATAAATTTATAATAAAATTTAATAGTTTATTTTTAATAATCTTTATTAAAAAGTTATTTAAGATTTTATAAAAGTTTCAAATTTATATATAATTCCTATATAAACTTAAAAATCGATATTTTGAAGCTCTAGATCTCAATACAGAAAATTCTTAAAAATCTGAAATTTTCAAGGTAAAATAAAAATGATCTAAATTATATATATATAAATTTTCAGTGAATTCTATCCATAAATAAGAAAGTTAAAAATTCCATCTTTGGTGTAAAAAGTGGCCCAAAAGGGGGGTGGCCCGAAAGTAGGGTACCCGACTTAGAAAGTTTGAGAATGCCTTGATTTGATGTTACGGGTATATCTGCCAATGTTACGATTTTGGTATGGTGACGACATGTGTAAATCGCTCATGTCGTAAAGCGGAATTCATCTCATCCCCCTTTCCATCTGCGTGTCCATTCGAGGAGGTGGTTGATTCGTCACGGTGAGCTTAGAGAAACATGTAGGAGATGAAGCTCGCAAGCGTGCCATCAGTCTCTGGGGTGTCTGTAATATTTTCGTAGTGGTATCGCAGTACATATGTGTATGAAGTTGAGATTTCGAAATGCCGGAAGATCGTATCGGGGTGCGGGTTGTCACATGTAGTTTTCGAGAACTTTTGTGTGGACTGAGAGTGAGAGTGAGAGTGTAAGTGCAGATACAAGAGGGAGAAACCTTATGACCCCCCTCCCATCCAAAACATTATAGTTGTCCCGATTTGTATCATACAATCACTCTCATTCCCTTGTAATACTATACGATCTATTATATGACTATATGATCTAACCCAGTATAAAAAACACATTCCTCAACGCCTTACAAACAATGGCCGTATTAGCACAATCATTTTCTCTCGGGCCCCAAAGTGTTTGGATAATTGTGATTTTCCTATCTTGAAAGGAGTCCCATGAATCCTTGTATCCATTGTTGATTTTAGTCTCAAAGTCTCGGTTTGAGATATACAGTAGATGCTTTCTATAAAGTAAGCAAGGTACGTTGAGAAGGCACGAATTGATAAAGGAGCGATCCATCACAGTGAACCGTGTTATCGCGGAAATACATAGCTATCTGGCCGTCGACATCTCGAAAGGTAGTCACTCTTCTTTGATTGGCTAGTACGCGATGTTCCTTTAGCGAACTTGAAGGTCAAGAGTGTGGGATTGAGTACTTTTGAATATGAATGATTTATTAAAAAGATACACCCTGCGCAAGTAAAATCTAGAGAATTGGGAAATGAAACAGAATCTCATCTTCTACTTAATTAATCTTCTACTTAATCAATCTTGTATAACGAATTGTCTTGGGTAATCATTGTAGGCTGGTAAAACACGGAAATAAGAATGTGCACAATACATCTCACCGCGTACCCGTATTTTGACATTTTATGCGGGGCCCCGCGTATAATTTTCCGATGCGGGGGTTAAACGACATACCGAAGTCGATAAATTTTACATGTATCATTTCGGTCGAGTGAAGTGATTTATTTTTAATGTCATTATACATTGAACTCCAGGAGGAAGTGTAGTGTTTGGTTGTGTTGACTTAAGTCTGAAATGTGTAATTATGACAAATTATAATCGGAGAAGAATGAATTTAGGGACACCATGTGTATCTATGGAGAGGCCCTCGCAAGGAATCTCGTCATTGATTATGCCCAATATAGTGAGGAAAAATGCTTGCTCAATATGACAATTGTAAATATCGTACGAGAAGAGATATTTCGATCGTGTATGCGTTGTAATCGAGAATAATGATATGTATACACTCCCAGTACAATTACAACCTTCACTTTATCAAAAGTCTCTACATAACCCTATGTTCTCGTAGTACACTTGCTTTCTGTACAGAGCATAGAACAACGTAGATCTCAGCCGCGAATCTTGCTCAGTTCGCTTCGAGGAAGAGGAAGAGGAATTCGTATGAAGAGGTTGAGAGTTCGATGATAAGAAAATCTGTGCTATTCAAGGAAAGGAATTAGCATGTCTGCGAGTTGCAAAGAAACAGTTCATAGGCTGGCCCTATCACAGGGCTTGACTACAAGATCGAATTACAGAAGAAATATCAGTGAACTCAACTTATCTTGGACTTGATTCTTGCGCCCCAACTTTGTGCTAGCAGGTGGGTAGAACTTGGGATTGACACAATAATTGACTGTAAAAACGAGCAGATGATCGAGAGTGGTACTTGAGATTGAGAAACCTCTGCAGGAAAATAGGGAGCGGCAAAGTCTGGAGATATAGGGTGTGAGGTCTTGTCGCCATTACACCCGCCAGCAGCATTTGATATACTTCGAGGCGAATAAAATAATATAAATCTTAAAATTTGAAATATTCCAATCGTTGAAGCAAAACGTGCCGTTGTTGTAATACTGGCATAAATTCCCAAGAGATGGGACGAGTTTGTGGACAGGAATAAATGGAAGAGGAAGGAAAGAAGGGCCGAAATATACAGGGCGCATGGTTAGAGGAAGGTACACAGATAGACAAATATCACAGAAAAAGTGAAACACAAACACAACTATCTCATGATTCAACGAAAAATAGACAATCAATGTCAAACTGTGTATCTATTTTGATATATGTTCTCCGGATCTTCTATCTCTGTTTCTAGTTGAATTTGTGGTATGGGTATAATTATATTAACACGCTGGATACATAAAGGCTATTCATTCAACACTTACTTACGAGAATAGATTATAGAGATTAGAGATAGATGGGCATCCTAGAAGGAGGACGATGAATTGAATTTATATAACATATGTCTACTTTCATTTCTGTTCTCCGAATTTGTATTTGGGCTAGAATCGTACTGAGGAACGTTATCAATGAGGAATGTGCATCTAGACGGTACTTGCAATGAGAATCCTAGACAAAGAGACACATATCGATTCTAGGGGTCAAATTGAGAGATCAGTGTTATGTATTCGTCTCAATATCATCTTTTCAATGAGATGGCTACCTAGATATCTTCAAGTTTCTGTTTGGGTATGAGTTTGCTATTCTTTAATCAAATGTGATATGGTACGTTTGATACTGAAGCAGATTGGTCTCCCAACGCCGTTATCTATTACGGTAATTCACTAATATTATTTCACCACAAGTTGGATGTTTGAACGTTCGGACGAGTTACAAGTCATACGGTCTCGAGAGTCTTCTGCCCAGTTCTATAAAGGTACAGACAGCAGCTACCTTATCTCTTCATTCTCTATTCCAATTCCCTCGAGAATTGTTTTGGTACGGCAGTCCGAATCTCCTTGTGATGTGACAGCTCCATTGGGTAGGTTTACCTGCACTAGACTGTCTAGTCTAGGTCTACTCTACCGATTAATAAGCGGGTTACACTTCCACTTTCTATATATGAAAAATCTTTCTCCCCTTGGAACTGAAAGTCAATTATACATATAACACAACACAACACTACACAACACAACACAACACTACACAACACAACACAACACAACACAACACAACGTCGCAACCCTATCAAAGTTCCAACAACATATCCATCACAATACTTCAGACTGTAAATTATATATCTCTTTTCAACGCGATGTCTGGGCACAATAATACAAACGACATCGGCGCCAACGACAACGAACAAGATCCTCACAACACTGGTACCAATCCACCCATTAATCAGTACGATCATCACGCATCCAACGTCATCAATAATTCCTTCAATCCCCATCAACAAGGAACGGACGGTAGACAAATGGCTCCAAACAACAATCAAAGCGGACTTCAAGTAGTCCCTGTTGATCTTACTAATCCGCAGTCTCAAGTTCTAGTGTTTGATTCTCCGTACCTGCATGGAGGAGATCAATTGCCTAACTATCATACGCATAATAGGGGATACACTGTCGACCCGCAAATACCTGCTTCTTACCCAGTCAATTTAGCTCTCATCAACCATGATCAAGTACCTCCATGGCCTGTCTATCATGGAGATAATAACGGATACATCATGGACCCACACATGCCTGCTTATCAAGAAGTCGAGGGACCCCCTATCAACCATGACCAACAAGTGCCCCAATCGCTGGTCTATCACGGAGCCCCTATCAACCATGGCCAACAGGTACCCCCATCGCTATCCTATCACGAACACCCTGTCAACCCGCAAATGCTTGCTTGTCACCAATTTGAGGGGAGTCCTATCAATCATGTTCAACAACCTCAATTGCCAATCAATAGTAATCACCACCAGCCTCAACTTCAGGCTCAAGATTTATCCTATATTTTCGGGCAACAACAGACCCAAGTTCAGGATGACTACATGAGTGACATCGAACGTTCCATCAGTCAACAAGCATTCGTTGATCCTCCTTTTCAAAGTGCTTTAACCGACTTCGGTCAGCCACTGTCAATGCCTGTTCATGCCGCAGATTATAGCGGTCACGATATGAGTCAGCAAGCACCCGCTCACTTCCCAGTTGGAGGAGATCCTACTCATCTCGGTCCACAACCTCAAATGCATGTCAATCAGACAAACTTCAGTCCTGTCAACAATAACCAACAAGCATACCAAGGAATGGCCACCACCGCCGTGTCATCATTTGCTAATCAATCGGCGCAAGAACAGGACGCCGAATTTCAACACTTTGTTCAACAACGTCTCGCCCTTGGAGAGGTCCAACTGATGGAGTTCGAAACATTTAAGGCGTGGTATATAGGTCAGCAGTTGCAAGGAAACATCACACCAACAATTGAACATGGAGTTACTCCTCTCGACCAAGCCCTCGTCTTGAATAATGATGTAGCGATTCAACAGTCTCTGATACTGCCGAATAATCAAGAGCGCATGCAACCGCCTCCCATGATCTATCAGAATCGGGGAGAATTGACTACTGGCTTTCAGCACACGATGCCCCCTCCAACAACTTTGAGTTTACAAGCTATGAAACCGAACAGCGAGCCATATCTTCAACAACCTCAAGAAAGCATCGACTCGGATGTGCAAGCAAGAAGAACTTCATTGGCTATTACATCATCCGGCCAATCCTTTTTGCCGGTTTCCTCGCCATCTATGGCACTGCCAGCTCTTTCATTGACTACGACAATGGCAGCCCCCCCATCAATCACAAGAGCTCAAGCCCCCTCATTGACCACAACAGTACCAGCTCCCTCTGTGCCAGCGTTCACTAGAAGAAATCAAAAACTAAAAAATGGTATGTTTCAAAGAAATTTAATTCGAGATGCCATGACTAACAATACATAGAAAAACCGCCACAGATGGGGAAAAAGACGTGTGCCACAGGGAAAAGGAATTCACGAGAACAAAAAACTGAGGCTACTCCGGCAATCCAGCAAACGTCCATTCCGATTGACCAAATCCTTAGTCCTACTGGCAATTACACTGTTTCCCTTGCATATTTGCCACCGGTTTTCGATTCTCGTGAGCCTTTTGACGTCTCTGCGTTTACCGCATTGACCGCCGGAGCTGAAAATATTGATAGGCAAGAGAAAAGGAAATCGAGAATGCGTATGACTCAAGGCAGCTCGTTTATAGTGAAGATGGCCTTGAGAGAAATGCTCCAACAGTCCATCGTTCATCTGTCACTAGAAACTTCGCCGGGCGCACGAACAAGTGTACCCACCAAAGATGCTGATAAACCCGAGATTAAATTGTTGCTATTTGCCTCAAAGTCGCAATTTGTTGTTGAGGAAGGAGAAGAAGATGCCAAAGTTGTACGCGGAAAAGAGCAAATAGTCAAACCAGCCAGGGATGGGGATCTAGAGTTCGCAAAGCATACGTTCAAGTGCCGTGCAATCAATATTGATCTCAATGGAATAGAGGTGGAGGGAAGCTACTCGCTTTATACGAAGACGTCATTCGTTAATGCAAATACTCCCTTAAAGTATGCGATCGGGCTCGAAATAATGGTTACAGAGGTCGGTAAGAGAATCGCTAGAGATAACCTGCTCACTTATGAAAGATCTCTGCCATCTCAAATTGCAGGGGAGCCAGTCTGGGCTGATATAATCGACCTCTTGAAACTGCAAGCTACAGAGTGGGATACAAACACTGGGAATCAAGATCCACCTGCATTCCAAACGTCAACATCAACTTCACCATCGAACCAACAGCAAAATGACAAAGAGGAACAGTTGCCAAGTTCGGGACCGGTACAAGGGCAAAGAGCACGAACTAGGCAGTCGATTACGCCCGAGCCACGAAGCGTTCGTGGAGAGAAGCGCAAGCAGCAACAACAACCAGAGCTTCATGCTTCTCCGGTTATATTTGTATCGAGCTCCGAGGCAAACAATTCTTCAAGCGACCAAGCAAACAGTCCAATCTCCAACGCTTCTACTGATAGGACAAGTGTTTCTCCACAACTATTAGCAGAACCATCCCGATTATCAGGCAATTCAAGGCCTATTAAACGATCAAGAAATGGATATGAAATGGGATCGCTAGAGGGAGGAACCGGTATGAAGAAATCTTCGCCCTCGAGAAAGCAAGCTCGCTTGCCATTGATGCAACCACTTATGAACCAGATCTCTCAGAACGACCACATGCATCCTGCACGTTCTCCTTCCGAAATCGTGCGATCGCGAGTTACAACTGAAACTCAACATCGTATGCCTGCCCCGGTATCAGATCAAGCTCAAGGATCGTCCGCCGCGGAACAAATAGCTGTTCATAAGCAGGGAATGTTATTGGCTAACAGTGAGAGACCTTATCAAGAAATTATTTCTCCACTCACACAGCCGTTACGCACATTTTCAGCTCAAAGTAACATGCCGACACAGATGGGAACTCGACTTTTAAGAAAACCCACAGAGGCAGAACTTGCTCCTCATAGGGAACGAGTGCACAGCATGTGGAAGTCAGCTTTTCCATTTGGAAGGAAATCCTCACAGGGTCAATGAATGTATACATTCAATGAATAGGATTGACTTGAACCAGGATTTCGTTTTGACTTTTGTTGTTTTAGGTATAATATACCGGGGATAAATGGGTTTGTAATATAGCGCCCTGTGGAAAACATTGGTAGATTTTGATTATATCCCTAGAATTTGGATGGATGCAGGAACAAGGAAAGGGAAAAGCGATTTATGTTATTGTTATATAAATAGAGTAGGATCACAAATTGAAGACTCACAATTAAAGTCAACGTTCACGTTGGTGACAGTGAGGTTACATGTGAATAAATTCCGAATATAATTTGTAGGAGACGTTCTGGAAAATAAGCGAAACTGAATTAGGTATGTTGGATTTTTAAAAGGGGGGTGGATGTATCTGAATGACATTTTGGAAGATTATTATGCGAGTGTAGAATTCCGGGTATGTTGGCACTAACGAGGTTCCAGAGAATAAAAGAATGAAAGAGTTAATTGACAAGGTACAGCACATTTTCACATTTCGTGTGGGGCATCAATTTACTTATACTCAAAGTCCCTACTAGGGGATTCACATCTAATCGTCTCACGTGCTTTTAGGCATCTTCTGGGGTGCGTCATTCTGCATTGAATTTTTCGCGCGATTAACAGGGGTGGATAGGGGGGAGGGGACCTAGAATGTGCGGTTTGGGCACCGTTGAGTTGGATGGTAGATTTGTTTCACTCGGAGTTGAGGATATCGAGACGATTTTGGTATAGTTTGGGAGATTTAGAAAGGGGGGGTGTCACGTGGGGATGTTTAGGGAGTGGATGGTGGCTCTTTGGGGAGGTTGGTGAGATGTTGGGGTAGAGAGTTTCGGAGTTTTCGGGAAATATTGGGATAGGGAGATAGGTGTGGTAGGGAAATTTGCTTTGGAGGCTGGAAGTTGCAGGTTGGGGGCTTGGGGTGTGGAGGACTATGTGGATAAGAGGGGTTTGTGGACATTGTTTGAGTCGAGGATGTGCATGCTAGAGTGTATGTAGGTGTAAGTTAAGCGTAGGATATTCAATAAAAATACGCAAGAGTCAAGTCAAGACAGGTTGTTTTAGTTGTGGGTAGGGTAATTGATTGTACGTATTTCTTAGAGGGATGCGAGAAGCAAAAGATAATTTACTAGTTGTAAAAGATGCCGTGTTTAACTTCCACCTTCGCACTAAAGATCTAATTCCTAGCCGCATTAAAATCCTACTAACCGAAGTAACGACCAACGCTAATCCTAGTTTCATTTCTCTAGCGGCCAAGTTACTAAGCCTGTGCTTCGGGGTACTGTGCAGTAAATGTTGCATGCCTGACCAAAATGAGAAATCACTAGTTAACTTTAAAGTTGCTGTGATCATCATCGCTAAGCTATTTGGCGTATGGATCGTCGGGATCGGCGGTTGCACAAGCGTGACCATTACTTTATAAGGAATCTTCTTCCCTCCAACTTCTCCTCTCACATATTATCGAAAAATATTTCACGTGCAGGTTGAAAAATTTTTCACGACGGTTTGGAGAGTTTGCAATAATGGGTTTCTTATATTGACCAACTTTTGGGTACATTTTATGTAAGTTAATATGGTTCTCGATTCCTGATCGCATTTTTTTCCCGACGAAACACCGAAAATGGTTAGCGAGGCGACAGTGAGGAGTTTATCTCTCTTAGCTGTGGAGATACTGGATAGTTTGTTACTATGTAAGTCTGGAAGATGCAGACTAAAATCCAATTGATACAGTAAATCAAGAAAGAAAAAAAATCATAAGATAGATGGGACTTTGGATCAACAGACACGTTCGAAAGAAGCAGACGACGATATGAGGACACGTCATCCTTTGGTGAATCGTCTCCTCGTCTCAATATACCAAAAATCAGAGTACAAATGTTCAAAGAGGAGGAAGGTAGGTTCTCGAGCAAAAGAGCCGGTTCGAGAAGTATTGAGACGATATGCGGGTGATCATCGATTATACGGCGAACGAGAGAAATGCTCGCACGAATATATAATACCAAGTGTGGAAATCTAGTTTATGTCTTGCTATTCGGTATCGGAGAGAAGTGTCACCATTTCCAATAAACGACCATGAAGATCACTCTAGAATCGCAAAGTTTTGCTTCAAAGGACCGAATCAATCTGCCTAGACAATGGAGATACGAAATCTTATGCTTGAAGCAATCCAAAGGATCTGACAAAATCAGCTGACAGCTAGCATATTTCGGAAACCACGCTTATCTTCTGGACGCAAGAGTGCAGAGAAAGGTAATGAAAGTTGAATTTGGCAAACTCGGAGACATGGAACAGCAGACTCTACAAAATTTGGCAGGCAGAAGCGACAACCAACAAAATTCAATGCGCCTCAGACCGGCCACGCCAGAAGAGCCCCAGAAGAACCGCAGAAGACCAGAGACAGTTGATCTGAATTTGAATTCCATATCATATAGCCCACAAGATAGTAGCAAACCTAGCAACCAAACTTCAAGTTTGCAGAATAGGCTAAGTATAGCATGGTCACTTTCTGATACTTCTTCCATGAGTGTTTTCTTCTCGTGGCCCCCCATTGTAACGGAACTGAATCTTGTCCCAGTAGACTATTTCTCAATAAAAACCCAGAACTATTGGTATGAGGCCGGCCATGCATCGCTGATGCAGAATTGTCGATGGTGTGACTCATAGAATACAGCCCATTCGCATGGCCACGTTGGCTGAGAGAATAGACTTTGTTCAAAGTATGGAAAGAGTTTAATATATACTTTGACTGCCATATAATTTGACAAACATTTACTTTGATAGACATATATATTTTGGTAGCCATATACTTTGACATCTACTTACTTTATACTCTGGCATATACTTTGTCAGACATATACTTCAACCGCCATAACCCCATATAAGCAAAATTGAAACTATGCCCAGACTCCCATCCCAATAAACTCGAAAATGAATAAACAATTCGTGTGGCCCATTAAGCGAACATCCATCTAAGCGAAAGTCCACAGCGCAAAAACGGACTCATCATAAGAAAGTAAGTTCAGATTCTAATTCAGACATGCGTTGCCTGAAACTTCCTTGCATTGGAAATTCGGCTGACGCTTGTGTGTTAGATCGACTTGTATTCTACGAGCGGATGGTTAAATTTGAGAATAGTACTTGGAGTGACAAGACATATCTTAAAAAAAAGCAGGTACGTCATTTGGAGGCACTGATACACTAATTTTCATTGTGACTTGACAGCGCCTTGACAGCGCCTTGACAGAAGCAAAGCAACGCAGTACAAAAGATATAAGAAAGAAGTAAGTGAACGCGGTACATTGATATCTACAAAATGTGTATGGCACATATACATGAATAAAATTGGTTGGTATTATTCATCCTCCGATTATTGGTCGGTTTGGTATCATTGGCCCATCATCCAGAAACGCCCCATATCTAGATCTACGAATGCGACTAGAATCATCGAAAGGCGTGAAACCGCAACCTCATCTATCAGAACTATCATAAAGCTTCGCAGCAATTGACTATCGCATGTCAATGCTGCTGTACTTTTTCGCTCACTGATGGTTGGCTACCTTCTATCAAGATGCACTTCAAACCACTAAAATACACGCTGACATCATGCCTTGTCAATGCAATTGCATGTCATATATGTGGCATTCACAACAATGACTTGAAGGACATAGGGTCGTCAGATCCGCCCCCAGCATCGAAGTCTCCGACGTCATCACCAACTACGCTGCCAATACCTTCTTTGCCTTCACCTTCCACGACATTACCCATTTCATAGGTGATTCTTTTCCAGCCACTCTTTTCCGAGGGGTCTTTGATCCACTCTGTAGTTGGGAAATAGTGATCATTCTTCTTCATTGTGATGACCCATGGGACATTATCAAAGGTTACTACCTTGATGCGGAAATCTGCAGAATAATATTAGTAATCTGTCAATCTGGGGAAAAAATCGGACACGTACATGTATTGTCAGGGATATCGATTACCACCTTCAAGAATGATTCCAAATCTGGTGTTGGTTTCCCATTGACATGGGTCACAAAGTTTGTTGGGGTGAGGTTGTACTGGTAAGATGGAGATCCTCTTGTTCTCGCCGCAACGTAAACCTCACTATGTAATTTAGAGATTTGTTGGCGAACAGCATGATGAGGGCGATGTAGAATAGCTCCACAGAAGGAAACGGCTCGATCAGTCTCGAGATCATCTGCTGAAACAGTGTCAAGCTTAATGTGCATTTCCTTACAATCGCGGACAATGACTGCATCGAGAACGTCATGGTCGTACATTACATCAAATTCATTAACCCGAGTAATAATTTTACCGTTGAGAGATAGAATAATGTCTCCTTCCAAAAGAGCACCGGACTCACTATTTCGCTCAAAGGTGCGCTTTCGTACCATGAAAAGTTGATGGCGAGATCGATTATCTTCAGCAACCTTATGAATCCATTCTTCGGAGACACCCATGACACGAGCTTGAGCCATTTGGATGGTATTGAATTCAACGCTCAACATGCGTAATTTAGGCTTCTCGTCATTTTGTATTTTTTTGATGACGGGTAAAAGTGTAGGAGTAGCAAGACCAAGATAATATTCGACATCTTTAGAGCTGGATGGAGATCTCTCTCCCAAGTATGTCAACCACAAGGCTTGGACAACGCCATCTTCACCGATAAGAACACCACTTCCACATTGACCACTCAGGCTTGTGTCAACAGTGATAGCATCAATGTTGATGGCACGATATCTTGGAGATGCAGCATTCGCAGGGATAGCAACAGCAGTAATTTCAGTGATGGTGGTTTTAGCAACGACGATTCGCATATTAGTGTTGAAACCAATGAAGTATGTTGAAGCTCCTTGGGAGGGCTGCTTATCGCTCAATCTCGCGCTTTGCACAGGGGCAAGAACCAGCGACGGGTCGTATTGGATAATGGCATAATTTTGTAGAGGGTGCAGGAATACTACCTTTCCTTCCACAATGATGGAATCGGCGATTGTGATCGAAATGTCACATAGATCATATGGAACGACAGCTCTAGAGATAACAACCAACCCTTTCTCTGCATCGATAACAACGCCCATACCCCACTTGCGGTTCCGGGGGTAGCCGTCGAGTTTGACAGGCATGTGGCATAGCACTCGAACGAAGCTTCGGACGATATCCGCTGCCGCTGGATGCTGTGAATTCTCCAGTTGTATGAAGTTTGCAGACCTAGCTACAGGTGTTGTGGGTGGGAGAGCGTCGGCTAAATCCGAAAAGTCCCAAAGACCAGTGATGTCATTTCTGACGGCCAATCTCATCTTACTTGACCAATGGCGATCAATTTGGAGAATGCCGGTGTTTAGAGTGTGGAGATCTCGGAGATGTTTGTATGTTACTACAACCCTTTCTCGGTCCGGAATTTTCTTCATGACTTCAATGAAGCTTTTCAAATCAGGTGTCTTCTTATGATCAATGGTTTGAATCATCCAGCCATTATCAGTGCCTTCGAATCGGAATGATCCACTAGCTTCGCACATGAAGACTCCTTTACAAGCAACGCCATAAAGACGTGCTTGCTGATACGACAAATCATGAAAACTGCCTCCCGCGACAGAGACAAAACGATCTGGTGTAATCATATGAAGATCTCCAACAGCAACTGAAACTTCGATATTTTCTCCACCACGCTGTATAAGGAAGCTTACCGTCTGACCAACACTAGAATCAAGGATATCATCTAGACGAATGAATTGTGTCAATAATTCGCCGTTGACCTTGAGTAACAGATCCCCTTCTTCAATCAATTTATGTGACGGTCCTTCTGGAAGAACAATTTCTGCGACGAGCATACCGGTCTCCTTTGGAAATCCTGTTCGAACAATGCCTTCCCAATCGGGTGTTAAACCAAGTCTCCGACATTCATCAAATGGCTTGATTAACCATTGACATTGAATTGTTCCCCGGGTAATGGGTTTACCCTCTTGGACGCATCGAAGAGCTCTCAAGGGTCGATCGAGAGGCAAGAAATAATCCGTCGCAGCACCATCGCTTCTTCCACCCGCTTGTAGGGCAACGGCGTATCCATCAATCTAGTGGCATATCAATATTTGAAGTGTAAAGAGATTGGGAGATATGAATATTTGAACGTACATTAATGACTGGACTTCCAGAACTTCCACCACTCGCAGCAGCAGCTGCTTGTATGTAGTTGGTATTGAAATCGCAGTATCCGTCACCATATTCGGGGGCATTTCTGTCTAGTCTACTGATGACTCCGGATAAAATACTAAGCTTCTCTCCAGCATCATTACCAACCACTCTGATCTCTGATCCTACCCTCGCAAGATCTGGTCGCAGTCCCAGAGCGGTGACAGGCATGTATTTGATAGCTTTAGGGTCAAATCGTAATATACCAAAATCGTGAACAGGGTCACGATAGACCGGGTAAGCATCAACTTCTTCGTGATTATCGAAAACGCAATATCCCCAGAAAGGTCCTGATCCAACAACATGTCGATTGGTCAAGATGTACCTGCAGGATTATTAATAAAGCTTAAAAGATAGACGACACATCCATTCGAGCAGGAAAACTAACCCTCTTTCTGCATCTACCACAAAGCCAGTAGCTTCGCTGGTTAATGCAGGGTCTGTGTCAAAAGAACAAGTCTGACAAAATCTGATCGAAACTACATTCCGCACCACCCGCTCTATGGTGGCCTGCCATTCAGCTGTATCTGGTGATACATTTGATGGTAATAGTTGTGGGCCATCAATGTCGAAATCATCGTCCGAAAGGTCGATTTCTGGAGTATTAACACCTGTTGACTCTTTCCCATTCAAGGCTCGGAGTTGCTTCTGAGGTCTCTCGGGCCCCGTTGGATGTGACTTTCTCTTCGAACGCGTTGCGACGCCATTGGTGCCGATCATATTGATTGATTTGTTTTTCCTTAAACAATCAGATATACGGGTGGTTGAAAGCGCAGATGGAGTCAATAAACGAGAGTTTCGAGTATAGCGCAGAAGTAATTGTCGAATCGTTAAACGGTTTCTTGTCGCAAGGCTTGTTGGAAAGTATTTATGTGCAACGAAATGCGAGAAGCCGTGTCTCAATCGCATGTACAATTATACGCAATGTGAATGGCCTTGGAATTGGTCGAATCGAAACCGTGAATGAATGTGAGAAAATAGATTTTGAGGTGTTTTACAGTTGGCGTCGTTTGTAGTACTTGGTGGTACTAAGACTAAGGAGCAGGATCAAACAAGAAGGCAAGCGCCAAAAATGAAGGGAATATGATAAGTAATGTCACAAGGAGAGAAAGATATCCAACGGCGGGTAGGATGATACAAAATGAGCTTTCGTATGAGCCGTAGGATGTGAGAGGACGAAGCGGGCGTGCCTAGGATGTGATTTGATGGAGATGATTCAATAATTATAACAATGGCAGTACTCGGGAGTACAAGACCTTTTTATTTCTCCAAGGCTGAATTAAACAAGGCTGACACCGCCGCCACTTAACCCAAAGTCGTTGGTCGATTTTATCAGCCACACCGCTTTCCGGTTCTACATCGGCAGAATTATTCGTTTGTTGCAACCACTTTTTGGACCAGCCAGCCCGTGGAGGATATCTATCATGCCTTTCAATGTCCACCATCATATTCGAAACCTCTATCTTACTTTTGGAAAGCCCCTCGCATGTTTTGAAATTCATATTGTGCTGTAAAGAGGAGATGGATTTTTTCAAATACATAGGACCCCGGTTGTCTCCTCACCCTGCATCGCAACACCGAGAGATGGGAACATAATCTTGATTGCATCCAGGATACTAGGGATCTTCAAGATACCTTCTGATGTGAGTTTTCATTTAGGTCACTTACGAAGTCTCTCCAGAAGCCCTGACGCTTGATGTTTCGATTGCTTTTAGCAAAATTGAACATTCTCAATCTCTTAAAGGTCTTACGTATTGGGTAAGTATGATGTGTCGCTCAAATCTAGAGAATCTAAACATACAAAGCTACGAGCCTTCATTAGGCTTATTCCCAATGTATTTAGATCTACATACAGGCGTCCAAGCATTCTTCACTTCGGCATCAAATCTTCCTATCCTAAAATAGTCTCAAGTTTTGTTTTGGAACATTGCCTTTATCAATCAACGAACGCGCCACTATAATGCTGCCCTCGCTTAGTATATCTTCCGCTCTTTTACTATTGTTGATTAAACACGAAGTGTGTCGTGGTAGACTGTACAATAGCATACCTAGGTACACAGATTTGATGTAAGAGATGGTAGTCAAATGCCCACAAGCCCTGAATCTCAATTTCCATATGGTATAAAAATGGATCATTTGTCCCTTTGGCGCTCCGCTATTATTGAGGGCATCTCTTGCATTCCGGTTACCACAGACATATAATATAAGCCTAAAACATAAGCTACGATCTGAATAAGTTTATCATGCATTCGATTGGAAGTGCAATAGAGCTTTAATTCTTGTTGTCACGAGAAGATTGGAATGAATCTATTTCTCATGACCGCAGCTGGCACGCAGTCTAGCATGGCCAGCGAAACATGTGTACTTCTGCTGTTGGAAAAAAATGTAGTGATTTGGCTATCAACTCAAGCTGCCATGTCGGTTCATACCTATCAACTCATCTTTTTGAAGCCACCTACTTAGAGATGTGGAGTCTTACACCAAAACCAACATCTTTGTCCACAGACCACACAGAAGTTCTTTGATATTGAAGCCTAGGCTCACGTCTTTCGATAATATCTCTTCAGGATTCAAGGCTATCTGGGGACTTCTCAGCAAACAATTGTAAGCGTCCAATAAAGAACTTTGATTGACAACCCTGGATGCTCAATAATTGGCATCCATGCCACAAGGACCGACGAAAAGTCTTTGAGTGGAGATTCTAGGTTGTATTACTTCAGCTATTGCCTCTCAGAATTGACAGGCATCTATTTCAATGCAGGATTAGTCACATTTTATCTGTTGTTTTTTCGAGACAAGACGTTTGGTGTTAGCTGAAAAGGAAACCTAGATTGCTATTACCTGATACATATCTCATTGAAATTGGATGAGCTTACATAAAAACTTCACTCGAACAATTAGATGAGGCTGTCCGTTTTCAAGGTCACTTTAGAAATTTAGAGAGGTTTAAGCTAAAGCGCATGCTTTTCAAAGTCTGATTACATGCGCAAGGTGCCAAAATTGTAGTGACTTTCATTCATTCAGCTGAAGTAGTCCGAGGAAAACTTCAACTAATTGCTGGAATTCGCAAGCAATAAACCCTTCTACCATGCAAATACACCCCTTAGCCTTGAATATCCTCCATTTTGCTTTAGAGAACCCCAACTTCCATAAAACAGGCTCCGATTCTATCATCGTCGTCTGAAATTGGGCACACTGATCTTTTGGCTCAATGCCAACATTCTACTCGTCAACACCTCCGTCGTCGCTAAAATTCTCCTCGATCTCAGGGTCGAAGATAGTCTTTTCGTCTACCTTATTCTTCTTAGAAACGCCTAGACAGCCAGCTCTTAGCATTTCAATGATTCAGCGCTAGAATTAGATGGTCACATACCTTCGCCATTACCCTCAAGTTCTGCCTTGCGCTTCTTTGAACTACCCTTAGCGACGCTTTCACCCTTCGCTAAAGATAATTGTTGGTGATCTGATCATGATTCGCGAGCTAGGGATGAGCTAAACGTACCATTTCCATCCTTAACACTGGCATGAGACTTCTTGAGGGCTTCCCATATATGCCTAACAGCCTTCTTAGAGCGTCCCGGAGCCTTGATGGCCTTGAAGTTAGGAACGAAGTTCTTGTCAGCAGCCTGGAAGAGGATTTGGACTACGATTGCATCCTGTGTTTCAATCAGTCATTTCTGTTTCAAACTAGGGAAGAGATCATACTTTTCCGTCTTGGGTCCATACTTTGCCAGACGAAGTCCTATTGTTAGGAGCCTTGACCTTCTCATTGGCCTTTACTTCGGCGGCAGGGGCAGCTGGTCTAGCCTCAGCAGCTAGTTGGGGAGTCTCATTGAAGGCGGACATTGTTTTAAGTGGACTCGGCTCTTGTTAAGGTTTGATTGTAGAAGTAGTATCTAGACATTGTTAGCAAGGTAACTTTTGACAAGAAGTTGTACCTCTTTGGTCTCTGAATTCATGAGGCGGTCGGCATGTACAGAAGAGGATCATAGAATGTGGAGATTTAAATGTACGGGAAGCTCTTGTACACTCATAACACTTGCATGTACACAAAGCTGTCGTACATCCTATTGATTTGAATATTTCTAAAGCTTCTGTACATTTTCAAGACTTGAATATCTGGAATCATGAGAATGTACGGTAAATTGTTGGACAATAGAGAACCTTGAATGAGAAATGAAACGTAGGTGATTTATGTGATTTGAATCCATAAGGCATGGTCGTGGATAGTGATGAAATGATTATATACAAGCTCTTGTACATTGTGATGACTCGACTGTGCAAGTAAAAGCATAATAAATGGCCATAATTCCCACATGGAGGAAGATTCCGTTGATTGTTACACAGGGAGAAGGTGGAATAGATCAGTGTTGATCGACTTTGACCAAGCCCAACCAAGATCAAATCGTAAAATGGCGAAGGCAACATCAAAAAATGTCAAAGTATCGCGCCATAGAAATGAAGGAGTAGATCAAATAAAAATATGCGAAAGGGGTATGACTTACCAAGAGACAATGTATGATGATTCGTGAACGTGGTTGATGAAGATGCGAACCTGGAAATTCGTTGTTTGGGGATGGAGAAAATTGGGAAAAGTTGTGCGCGAGGAAGACTCTTGTATCTTGGAAGTGGTTATGCGGGGAAACGTACGATTTGGGTGCTTTGTTATGAAGTGAATATAGACGAGAGTGTCGTGACTGATCTTGGTTGCTGGGACGTTGCCTATTTAGGAGCCTAGGCATCGGTCTTCGAGGCGAGACTAGAGGTGTAGCAAGGTAGAAGGAGGTCGGGAGTTGAAAAAAAATACGTAGCCCCCTTCAGCCCGAATTAATGCTAGTTATTAGACTCGTGTATCCACTACATACAATCCCTCAATGGCACACCGATGTACAAGAAGTGATACTAGGTGACCCATTGTGTTTGCAACGTCTTCAGTGCTACAAAGCCGGTTGAACTAATTCAGCTTTCTATTAGAGACCTGTGGCTAACTCCTTGTCGTTTGAAACCTAGCTTCTATTTATTAAGTTGCATGTAGGGTTTCGCAATCATATTTTGAGCTAATTCTACCTCGCTATTCTCCTATCTGCCTAAACTAGCTAGTTCCTAGCTATCCGCCCTTTCCTGATAGAAACTCCTACCCTACTTGAGAGTCACCGATCACCACACAATAGCTTCTAAGAGCTACACGCCTAGCTCTAGTGTGGTTTCTAGATGATTCTATGATACTACGATGCTTTGTTCTATCTCGATTAATCTGCCAGATAGATTCAGACTACCAAGCCGAGCTCTATCACCATGCACAAAGCCTCAACTTGCACCTGCGAAGCTTCCAGGCCAATGAGAGTCTGCTAGCACAATGTGCTAGACCTCCCGGAAATACTACCGACACCGCGACACTTACCAAAATGTTTGACACTATCTGCAACCTAGCACGCTCCACCATCCCACGCTTCAACTCAGATCTGGAGGCAATTGAGGAATAAGATTCAGCTCTCCTAGCTTATCAACACGCTCAAAGTTTTGCAAACCCTTTGCGCGACTCTACAGCAGTAATAAAGATTATTAGTCACTACTTTCATTCTCTATGCTAGGTGTTCTATTGTGCTAGATCGTATTCGGGAAATAGAATTTATTTCCTTGATCAGAACACAGTCTACATCTCTGGAGCTACATGAGGTCATCGGTAAGCGCCACAACGGTCAACCGGATTTTTTCCACAAATTTAGAGCACAGCTGAACACTGCTAGACACTCAAAATATAACATGCCAGTCTTTATTCTAATGCTATTGGGGACTATCAACTCGTTAAGAACTTCCTTACTGTCAGTGGCTGGAAAGAATACTACAACACCAATCCGAAATGATTTGAAACTGTTACCAGCCCAAAGTGGACACTTGGCTCCTCTCCTAGCGTTTCTGCCGAATTTCGATTACTACTCCCCTAATAAGAACTTGGGTTCGCTCTATAGATTGCAAGAAACTTAATGGCAATTTGGGACAATTTGTCTACTACAAAACTATGGGTAAATTCAGCTACCCACGCAGTATTTGTCTAGTCGAATACATGTGCAGCCCGGAAGAAATTTCCTCTCCAGGAATTTTATCAACCCAAAACTTCTAACAACTAGGACTCAAGAAAACTCGACGCTCAGCGCCGATTAATTACTAAGCGAAGATGGATCTTGACGTCCTTGGAATTACTGACCATAGTTCTGTTCTGTAGCTTGTTTCCCGCGCCCACCTTACAGACGACTACAGCAGCTCTTCGATTCTGCGCGACTACTTCACCGATCTGTAGCAGCAGCCCATCATATGCTGACGGGAAAATGTCTTGAAGATACTAGATTAAGTCTCACCACCCTCTCGAACAGCATCGCAGACGGCGTTTCCAAACCCTGCAAAACACTCTGAGAAAGTATCACTAACATGACCACAACAGATGCGACAAGCACATGCGCTATCATATCCTTTCAGCAATGAAAAAGACACAAGTACCAAACTCCTGCAGATCTGCCACGAATCTATCTCCCTTACGAGTCATCCATTGTTTCCAAATCTTCCAGCGCATAGGTGGAAGTCGACAAGTTACGGCGAGTCGAATTCTGGAACTACATGTTGGCATGAGACTATCGCGATGCGAGCCTCTCAGTCATTGTTTGGAACGATTGTTTCGCTGCGGAACAGAATACTAGGCTTTCGACGTTCAACCACGCCGCGGATATCCTTGAGCTTTTTTGCTTGTTCGCAGATTGAGGGAAAGCTCTCTACGTTATGCTACAGCTCCATATCTCAAAAGCCGTCAAATGAGTGCAGTAGGCACGAAACTTAAAGTCAACACTGAGCCCGTCTCGTTGTTTAACCTGGTATACATCTGCCATTGTTGCGTTGAGAAGAAATTTCCCTTCTTTCTTACACAGACTATCTAAGACCTCTTCTCTTCCAGAATACTAATCTGACGCGCTGACTGAAAGAGGAAAAATGGAATGGCGGATGATGAGTATTATTGTTACTGAAAATCTGATGTGCCAATATTCAAGGGGAAACAAAGTATACGAACGAGTATCTCTGGGAAGCATTTAGATCTGAGCAGCTTCAGTAATTGTATTGGTCTTCTTGTGGCGGCTTATTACAGCATGGCAGTAGTGATGGCATTTTTTTTTTTTTTTAATTCTATGTAGCCTCTGTGTAAGATATTTAAGTCAGGATTAATATTGTTCTGGAGTGTCCCAACTGCTGTGCACATCGAATTCTACTAACTGTGGGCTGTTATTGACGTCCAACAAACTTTAACCATTTCCGTTGAGCGAAACTATCTAGAAATTGGCCACAGGCACGGAAGGAAGAGTACTCCCAATGAGCGGAAGAGCATTTGCTATCTCGGTGCCTTGTTGCATATCGTAAAGCGGTAAGGCTACTCTCAAGGTCAACAAATCTGACAGAGACAAATAGCCTCCAATGAGAGATGGAGCCTTTGCCATCTGATGCTCTTGTTGCATATCGTAAAACGGTGAGGCTACTCAAGGAAGCTCACAAGTCTGGCAGAAAGAGATAGCCATCCAATAAGAGTCAAAGCCCCTGCTATTGAGACCTCTTGTTACACGTCGCAAAGCGGTAGGCTGATTGGTAGTAGCCTTGAAACGGGCAGAACCACCCGATGACCAATAGGGGGACATCCCAGCCTCCTGCTTCCTAATGTTGCACGTCGTAAAGCGGTGCGGCTGAACGCGGCTCATCTCCTGGCTGGCAGAAAGTAGGAGGAGCCGTGGGGCAGTCAATCGTATATTGGTACATCTAGAACACATAACATGCCTGAAGAAACCCTTGAGATCACTCGGAAAGCATATAAGTCTTTTTCTACTTCGATGACTGACTGGTATACAGCTTCACCGTTTGATTCTTATATTTTTGGAGACTTTACTAGACTTTCGAGGAGATGTGCAATCAATTTCCTCATTTCTCGATCAATTTTCCAGATGATTGAAATTTCGCATTCAGCAATTCAAATTCCAAGTAACAGAGAAGTTAAACTTCTCAAGTAAAGTGCTACAGTTTAAACTGCATCTAAGAAATAAAGCTACAATCCACGATCAATCATAAAATGTGTCTATTCAAGATCGGCCGTTTCAGATCCAGCTGGCGCCACTGAGGATGCCACTAAGTCTCACCGTCTGTAGCCGACAACATCATGCTTTAAATGCAGCTCCATCTTCTTATTGGTCTACGCAGGCTGTGTTTGCAATTGTTGCACATCTGAATTTAAGCGACTCGATGGAGCCAGTTGGAGATACCTGCTATTTTGTTATTTGACCGAGCATCAATTTTTTTGGTGTATCCGAGCTTTCGTATCACAAGTTTGTGCGCACAATTCTAGAAAACTTCTTCAAACATCCAGAATTCACGAACGCGTTCATGGCTTATTTCCAACAGATGATCTGGACTACCAGTTTATCTTGATAGTATTCTGATTGTTCGTCGACATGATCATACTTACTAGAGATGTCCTCCTATGGACGACTCAATTATTGTGGAGCTGAAAACTCTCCCAAAAGCTGGTTTAAATTGTGTTGTTTTTTTGTTCCCTCCGGGAACATCTGTACAATTTCAATTCTTGTAGCTTTGGCTAATTTTTATTTCTCCTTAGACCCCAACAAAGACGTTGTATCGACCAAGAATTACCATACCACCTCCCTCGAGTGGCACTACGAAATGCATTTATACATTGGTGAGAGTGCGACTTCTTGGAAGACACGCAGCGAAACGGAGTACTTGGACTGGAAACACTGATACGATGGAGACCGAGCATACATGCGAGTAACGAGTGGGAAACAATATAATACAAGGGAATGGGACATATTATAATACAACGGGGTTTGGAACTTTGACATGGAGAGGACATTGAACTTCTTGGGATGCGCATCGAGATAAACCACACGAAAATTATCTCGTCTCCACATACACGAAGACGGCGACCCTTCCTACCACTTCGGCAAAGTAATCTAAGATACACATATCTCAATTCATTGAGCCTTGAGTATATAATACGAGCCATCTCCGAGTCCAAGTATACAGGGCTTTAAGTTTCCGATCTAAGCCCAATGCAGCCACCTGCTTTGAAGTCGATATTGAAGAAGCATCTGATCAAAGAAGACCATCGATAAGAGTTTTCAGAGGTTAGAGAAAGATTTTCCTCATCGCTCCTCCTATCTTCAGGTCTGATTCTTCACTTAACATCCAATATACAACATTTGTGTGCTTGAGGACACAGATATTGCCTGAAAATGTTGGCAAAACATTCTTAAAGTATAAATCAAAATTTATCCAGATCAAATTCACCATATACATACAATAGACAAAAAAATCTGGAAGCACTTTGACATTTTGTTGTCTTATAGATAGAAACAAAATATGCATACAACTTGGGGGCTGCCTCGAAGTCCAAGAAGTCCAAGAGGTTAAGCGAGTGAGCCCCTGAGCCTTACAACAACTAAGTTCATGCATACCACTATGTTCTGTATACTCTGTATCAGAGGGGAAAAAAGCATGCAAAAGACATAGAGAAGATAGGATATAAAAATACATCAGACGGTTTGACTCTCCGAAGATGGACATTTCTGGCTGACCATTATTTTTATCAGGAAACCAAGCAGGTCACTAGCTTGGCACGTGCAAGAAACACACATGAATTCTACAAGACAAGTTGAACCTTGTTCAACCAGTTCCAAGAACTTCTAGCCAATCTGGGCAGGAAACTAGCAGATAGAGACTCAGCCTGTCTTGAGTAAGACCTGCCAATAGTTTGGAAAGACGCAAACAATGAGTTCACTATTATTGAGGTAAGAGTTAGAGAACTATCCCTATGACTGAACTTGGACAGATCAGTTATTTTCTTTGATTCTCAGCAAGACGAAACAAGTTCTCTTGCTTCTGAGCTTTCTCTTTTTTTTCCACACTTTATCCCAGTCCTTTGTGGTTGGCTGATTATGAGCAACAGTCAAGAAATATCTTGTCTAGGGACGCTTTCACATATTCTCTTTGTTGATTGCACTTGCTAAGAATGAGAATCTTAGAAAGAACATCAGCACTTTTGACGATTCTTTGATAGCATGCTATGCCTCCATTCAGGAAGTCAGAGCTTATTCTAACCTTTGAACTCTAGAACCTATCGCTTTATGTAATCTCATGAACGCACAGAGGTTGTTTTTGTCAGGTTTACAGTAGTTCTTGTTTACTTGTCTTGCTCTGAAGCTCGGGCCTCTCTACAACCTTACCCCTTCAACCAACCAACATTGATGCTCGTGACTTGCACGGGGCTTCGGGACCACTTCGGATTTTGCAAATTTTGTTGCACGTCAGAAATAGTTGATTTTCGAATTTTACTCAACTTTTCCTCAAAAAAGCTCCCTGAAGCTTTTTGGGAAGAAAAGCTGAAATTACAACGAAAATGAAAAAGTTGTTTTTTGGGACCATTTTTGAATGGTAGGAAGATTTAGTCTTGGGGATCTCGGAAATGAAGTAAAAAAGTTGAAAAGTTAAGTTTTGTGGAAGTTATGAGTGATTGAGTGTCTGACTTGTGTATGTTCACTTGATGTTGAGTTGATTTTACCCTGTTCAGTCCAAGAACTATTTTAGCCACAGTTATAACTTTAGATATCTCTAGAGAGTGATTTATGGTAAATCAGCAGTTTCTACATGACCTAAGCTAAAAATAAATGTGAGCTGCATATAATGAAAGTTGATCTATCTGGAAAAACAAATGATGAGAAATCTGGGGTTTCATGTGGAGTTCATGAAGAGCTCAAAAGATTAACCCAGCCAAAAAACAACTTTATTTGTGGAAAGAAGGCGGATTACTTACGGAATCATATCTTCTCAGTATGCTCTTCAACATAAGGAATGTAGCAAACTTCCTGCTTTGCTACAACCAGATGAAGTTGTCGTTTCAGAATTCTGTACTTCGCGTGAGGGCTATGATGAAAGGCCTTCTTTGAATTTGTGTGTAATCTAGAGTCTACTTAATCTTCCCCAACATCAACTTAAACGCACAGTTCTCACTTCGTTGAAACACATAACACACACGCAACTCTATAGCGAAGGTTACCTTTCAAAAGAAGAGACGCTGGATTGATTTCTACTTCGAAGTATACCTCTTCCCTGAGAGATTTTCCGACAGCGAACTCCCTCTAAAACCCTTTCTTTACAGAATGCACTCCTATGCAACATATTCCTCTGTCTAACAGGGCTCTTTATGACCAATATAGACGCATTAGAAAAAGGCGCCCTTTGTCTACCGAATCAGGTCAGGTAGAGTGGGCTTAGTCAAGTCAACAATTCCAAACAAGCGGAATGATTTACGAGAGCATATGCTACACATATTTAGAGGAAAATCGGGACTCTCTTTGATCAAATAAGTCTCTCGATAACTTCAATTAAGTTGCTCACTCAAAATTCATAGCAAATTAGATGAACCACCATCGATTTTAGCCGACCTTTCCAGCCAAATGAAGCATAAAAATGACGTATATTTTAGCGCCTTACCAATGATTGCAGTGACTTGAATCAACTTTCTATCACACATTGATAAAAATAGAATTGTGAAGAGCATCAAAATTGAAGAAATTGGTCAAATCACTCATACATCAGAGCTACGGATACAAATTGAGGGAGTTGATTCTTGGAGAATGCTTCTGATGTGCTACATATGCCTGCCTTTGTGTGACTGATGAATATTGCATAAATTCAATTACCATGTGTGAGTATTCTCGTGGTCTTATTATGTACGGCTGCAAAGTCATGATTAAAGAATGCTGGAGCTGACTCAGGATCTTATGTACTCTTCCAGAATTGTCTTATATCTAGCGAAGGATACAGGATCTTCACGCTCACAATCAAATTGAAGTTTTGTTGGACGTTGGATGTACCCAAACAGGGCGCTATAAACCAGAATTCGAGTCCGTGACTGATATCTTTGGAAAATTTGACATTCCTCTCTTCCCCAACCAGAAAATCCCGAAAATTATTCCTCAACAATGTATATCTCATGGGAGAGATATCTCGAGAATTTTATCCCATGAAGTTATCATCTATAGCACCAAAATTATCTTGCATATTTCAGACCAGCCCCTTGGGACCGCCTGGTAGAGGTGCATGTACAAGCACTTTTTCTTCACGAGTACCAGGCAAAACTTGCTGGAAGACCAACTTTTACATTTATGAATAACATAATCATATCATTAAGATGTAATATCTTTCAAGCTACCAAATATGAGCATGGGAAGTATCGAATCAAAGTCCTCTACAATGGCGTTTAAATGTTGACCTTCTGAAATTTGGTTTCAGAGATCACAGTAAGTCAATTCCAAAATGACATTCATTCATATAGCTGAACAAAATTCTTTCAGTCCCAATACAAGTAACAACCCGATGGTACTGCATTTCAAACATGTGTATGATGTGTTTCATTTGAACCACCTACGATTAATCAAGTTTGAAGTACGGAGCTGGGATCCAAAACTGTTCGTCACTTAGTCATATCTGTATTGACGCTCCTTTTAAAGGAAAACAGGAGCCGTGGAAGCTATCAATGTCCAGAGTCAAGTTCAAGAGGGATTGATGAGAAGAGTGCGAAAGATTTTTTTAGCATGCTTATGATGTGGATTGAGAATAAAATGGTTGTCACCATACCTACGTAACTTCCTCGTTTTCTCTTTCATGTAACCTATGCACTTTTGATAATTTTGATCACCTTTTCACCGAGATTAAGAAACCACAATCAGAAATCAGAATCATATCATCCCAACCAATGGTGTCACAAATTTTGCTCATGTCAGAAACGTGGGCGTCTCTGAACCGCTGTCAATTGCCGTGAGAAGAGGCTAAGAAGAGGAAGTCGGTAGGGAAAATTTACCGACCTTAAAAAGATATGCAAAGAACGACATGGATCACCAATCGTATTTCCAGCCACCTAATAAGCTCAAAATCTTTTCTAATTTATCACAATTGCGGAAAGAAACAGATATACGAGAATGTCGGGAAGCTGCATGCATAATGCACGTATGAATCCGGACCCCGCCTCAAGAACTTTTTCGGCAAGTACGAACGTAAATTTATAGAACGTTTGTCAACTATATTTTTACCAGAAGTTATCAATTGACAATATCAAAGTTTCACATCACAGATCACAGGAAATTCAAGTTGAGAGAAGGTATTTCATTAAGTAAACAAGGCAATTTGTGCCAGAAAATTGTAGTCTACAGGAAAAGACGAGGGTGATGTCACCATCTCTCTATCTATGTCTATCTACAGTGCTCGGCTCTTGCTGCTGCTGCCAATCTATACTAATACCAAAAAATATGAATACAAAATAACCGCCAAGCCAAAATTCCTCCCATACTAGGCCTATGTCGAGTTGAATGTGTTGTGAGATTTGAAAGAAGCATGTCGGTGGAACGATTTGTAGTTCCTGGCGCAGCTAAGTTGTGCTTTTCTTACCATGTTGATGATTTCGTGAATTTATGCTTTGATTGAGGTGTTGATTGATGTTTTTATTGTCGTTTTGGTTGAAGTTCTTGATGAGGGTGGTGACTGTTACGTCAAATTGACAATTCGTTGAGATTCGAAGTTCGAACTCTTCAATTTCCGAATAAGGGCGCCGACATGCAAAAGAGGTCCTCCGAGCAAATTCCAATCCATCTACCAACCGCATCTACCAATACTGTCAAATCCGTCCATCCCAGCAGCACATCCACCGCAGCAAGCAGCAAACCCCCAAGTAAGCAACGACACCATCTTCGTAGTAAACCCTTTCGGGACGCCGACTACCAGAACCAGCGTAGCATGAGTGCGTTTCATCAACCATCATGAACAGCGAATCAATACTAAATCGTCAGTGTAAGTACCCAAAACAAAAGTGCAAGTCCTCTCTAACGGATCAGAACGAAGAGGCGGTGCAACACCAACAAGATCCGAAGACCCCAAAGGCACTGTCCTACCCAGCCGCCCAGTCACCGCTGACTCAGTAACATGAAAGGCTGCACATCCCGCCCACGACCCCGGCGCAGCGTAGCAAGCTCCGTAGAGAAAGCCACCTGAACCCAAGGTATCACTGGACAGTAAGATAAACCAATTAGGAAATCTGCTTCGGACCGAAGTCCTCCACAAGCCCCCTTGAAACTTCGCCACTGGGTTTTCTCACTAATGCCTCAGCATCAACTGATAGATGTCGAGGGATCTCTAGAAGTCTCGTCAAGGAACCCCGAAGGGTCCTATCAGAAAACCTCACGCTACTCCAGTCGAGAAACCCGCGAAGAAGTTCGGTGAACCGCCCGAAGGCAGCTCGTTGAACGACTCGTTGGACTCTCAGTCGGTATAGCAAGAAGAGCAATCAGAAATCGCAAAGAAACTCGGCGAATCACCCGAAGGCGACTCTATGAGCAACTCTGGAAATCAACATGAACTTCATCTGAGAAACCTCAGTCCCAGCACAGAGAAAATCCCATCAAGGAACCCGAAGGAACCCGTCAGATATCTCTACCGCCCCAGTCAAGATCTCGTTGAGAAGTTCGGTGAGTCACCCGAAGGCAACTCGTTGAACAACTCGGTGAGAAACCCAGTCGGATTGGCAAGAGGAAGCCATAGAACTCGCGGAGCCGTCCTGTGAGCCACCCGAAGGCGACTCGGCGAACAACTCGTTGAGCCCACAGGAAACCTCATCTACACTTTCGTCGCACAGAAGACCGAACAACAGGTCAAAACGCAAGTTCACCATCCCCGGCTCAGCATCACCAAAGTGACCGAACAACGGATCATAGGATCTCTCTCAAGCCTAGGACCAGCATCTCCTCCCATCAGCCGACAACCTCAAGAGGAACCTATCAGAGTCCCCCGAAGGAGTCTCAACAAGGCCCTCAAACGAGATCGCCAACTTCTGAAATTCGAGGCCAATCTTCGGACATGGAAGTTACCCGCAAGAATCTTCCACCAAACAACACCTCCCCACAAGCAGTACCCCTCCTTGGGCATCGCTGCCGCAGTTCAGCACCGAAAGGTAGGTCGGAACGAAACAAGACGAAGAAACGGCTACTCCGGTACGACACAGGTCGTTCACCATCAATGCAGTAACGAATCCCGCGCCGGAAAAACTTACGAATTGAAACTTAACCTCTAGGGTGTCTCCACACCTAGACAGTAGCACAATTTAAGAATCCCCGTCAACGAAAAACGCCATAAGAACCACGTCACCAAAGTTCGTTGCTTCTTAACAGGACGGACAATGCCTCAGCGCCGACACGACTCCGTACATCGATTGGCCGAACAACACGAACAGACGAGTCTGCTGCCCTAATTTCGTCTCAGTGCCCGGTGGTTGAACAACGAAATCCCCGAGTGGACCGAGAAGTGAAGCCTCAGCACGTCCATTTATATACCCCCAGGGGCAGGTAGACGCCGAACAACTCCACTGCAACTACACCCACAGTAGAACATACTAAGGTAGAACTGGAAATGGTGGGCAGAAAGGTAACTACCAATTAGCTTCTCAAAGCCTCCGCGCAGAACAATGACACAAGACTTTCACCCACGCCATGCCTTCTACCTTCACTGGAAATGCCAGGTGGAAGTGACTGAACTTTAAAGATAAGATTCTCCCAATCCGGGAAGAGTTGCTGAGACCGCGCTCTGGACTCGTGACACGCATCATCGCTAGGAGAAGACTTACGCAGCGCAACGGAGTGGGTAAAACTGAGGGTGTGCCTTCGGAATTCTCCTCATACAGACACTACACTATACCCACATCACCCCGTTACTCCGAGGAACAAAGTAGGTAGAAATATCTGCAACCAGTATCCAGGTATACAGTATTTATCTAGATAGCAAGCGCCCTCGAAAGACATGACAACAGTCAGGAACTAAATCTAACCCCATGAGGTGTCTCGACACTCAGGCAGTGATCAGTCCAAGAAAGTTGTTGGATATGCAGTATCTTTTTCATTGGGCAACACCTTACTATTACCTTTTGGCACCTTGTCCTGGGTAGCTTTCCATATTGCTCAGCAGTGCCGTCAACAACTCTTGCAGGCAGTTTTGACGAGCTTCGCGTTATATCTTGCCCCGGTGACAAGTCATATTTCTAGACTCCTGCTTGCACCAACTGAATATTTAGTGGAGGTCGATAACGGCATCGTCGTCCAGAAGAAAATCCAAGCGTCGCAATGACCTAGTACCCGGCAAGCCGCACAGCTAGGGATTGCTCTCCCAACCATGCGAGGGCTCCTCATAGAACATGAGTCCAGCTAGAAACTTGGAAAGCTCACTAGTATTCCTGCAAGCCGCACCGTCAACGACGATGCGGTCCTCATGAGAGATGCTAGCATCTACAATCAAGAGTCAGGCTAGGATCTCGTTGATCGGGACACTGTGACACGATCCAAGATCTTCTTTTCTCCCCACGTTATCTCCCTACCACTATCAGCCCGTACAAATGATCAAAGTTCTATAAGGTACTGTAGAGCATCGTCGCATGCGATAAAACGCGATTGATCGCACACTCAGTAAGCCAGCACCAGTAGTTCTAAGATCAAACGCGATAGACGTGGATCACGCTATCGTAATGGATGGAGCTATGCGAATTGGAGCATGATGCTGGATGATTATCGAAGCCCATAGAAAGTTAGAATGTGAGAGTTGAGTTGAAGATCTGTTTCCCTTGCGCCTGTGATATTCTGAGGAGGTTCCACGAATGGTCTGCGCTTTCAAATATCAATAGGTCACAAGTAACAACCAAGGTACGGTATTTCCCCCAAAGCCCACAAGATCAAGCCCGTAACACACGATTTTTAGTTAGAATTAGAGATCGAGAAATTAAGTTCCGAAGAACGAAAAATCATAGCCAACACCCACAAAAGCCAACGCCCACAAGAGCCAACACCCACAAACCCCGAAGTTCCCACAATGATCTCTAATTCACGCAAATAAAGTGCTAATGTTGCGAGTAGATCTGAACCATCGGTTCATAAAGCCAACGCCCACACAGATCTTCAACTCATCACAAACTTACGATCAAGAAACAACAAAGACACAAACAGAATCATAAGCCGCATATACTCCGCTGGCCGTCACTTGGCTCAACCATCACCATCGAGCGTCAACGTACACTTTCGCAAGTCAGTGAAATGAATACCGATATGGCTTTCAGGGAAAATCCCATCCGACCATATTTTCTTGCATTTCTCTCTACAGGTAAAACTAATGCAGTATGGCACAGCTTTTTGTAATGATGAGATTCGGAGCTTGTGGCTGTACGGTTTACTTGCATCGAGACCCGCCATGATACAGTCGTACTGGAAGTTTTCATCAAGCAGAAGCTATTTGAAATACTGTACGGTTTACTTGCATCACAGCGAGCCTTGAAACAATTGTACTGGAAGCGTTCGCAGAGTAGCAGCCCTTTAAAATACTGTACGGTTTACTTGCATCAAAACCTGCGATGATACAGTCGTACTGGAAGTGTTCATTGAGCAAAAAGCCCTTTGAGCACAGCACGGTTTACTTGTATCACAAGTTTTGAAACAGTTGTACTGGAAGTATTCATAGAACAGAAGTCTTTGAAACACACAAGCTCTTGTGCTCAACTGAAATAACGTTTCAGTGAACTCGGCAAGCTGGCTTGCTATACGATAGTTTCCCCACTGTAGATGAAACTTTCGACGGCTTGGGGTATCAGCATCATGTCATTTTTGTTAGGAAATGGGGGACAGGGGGAGGAGCACTAAGCAACGTACCATTCGAATGCGGGGAGCAACTGTACGCTGCTCCCAAGATAGACGGATCTAAAAAGTTCAACAAACCCATACATACTGTATAACCAGCCACCGAATAGTTGGCAAGTAATGAGCTTCCGCCGCCGATAGAACCTACTCGCGTCCCAAACGCCAACCTCTCTTACACCACCGAAACGGGGAACGAACACGTCAGAGATAGCAATTTCCACTGGACATTCAGATTGGCTACTAAGCCGCTCTAGCTACAAGTTCCGGTAGTCATTGTCCTAAAAGGGAATGCTACTCAGATGGCACGTGCTACTCAGCACACTACCAATCCACACACAAACAACAAGAGCACAAACTATCTAAGTACAAAATAGAAAAGGGTTATCGAGGTCGATTGTCGAGGAAGGTGGTCGGAGAGCACTGCTTCGAAGGCTGCGGCTGTCATTGAAAGTGGAGGAAACAATCAAGTTTGGTTTGAATCGAATTGACAATGTTGAATTGATGGTATTGATATCTTTGGTATGGATTCATCAATATTGATTCGTTGACAGTGAGGTGGACTTGATTCAGCCCTCGAAGCAGGCTCAATGAGGAGTGACCTCAGAATTGTTCCCTTGAACGTTGTTGAAACATGGATTGATGGTTCAGGGAAGATGCAATGCTTGAAGAAGCAATAGCCGTTTGAAGTAGAGATACTATCGCCAAGTGCATTAGACAATTCTGAGGTCGTGAGAGGTGACGGAGAGGTAACTTATAAAGAGGATTCGAATAAGAAATACTCTGCGGTCTTGCATGAGATTGAATTGATGCTCGCAGAGTTGATGAAAGAAGATTTGAATTGAATAAGATACTTATACCGCCGAAAGTTGAAGGTTGACGTGAACCTATTAGGAAAGTGAAATGCTAGAGATTTGTCTTTATTCTCATCATCACAATTCGCTTTTTTGACTTCCTAGTCTCTATCACGTCTGAATGGTCTGTTAGCAACTTGATTCAATTCTCGAAGGAGATGTAGCGTTACTGATTGAGATAGACAGCGCCGAAGGCTCGAGAGGTGTTGGAGGTATGTATGAACAAAGACGATTGAAAGACACGAGTGCGCCCTTTGCAGGATAGTGTGAGACCATATTGAAGCTCACTCTTGAGGTTCGCAGCGAGGTACAAGGCACGCATGTTGAAGGTCCGCATGGTGAAGAAAACACGTTAATGAATCGAGTGGTTGATCGGTATTATCATCGTGTGATAACTCCGCAGTTGGGTACACAGAGGAACGAAACTGTGGCATGAAAGTCAGTATTCGAATAACAATAACTCAGTACCAATACTCACAGAATTATCAAAAAACATAGTAGAAGAGGGACATCGGAACGAAGGAGCACCTGATGGTAATCTGGTGGACGACTGTTTTGGTGACAAATTGCAGTTTTTGCCAAAAGTCGAGGCGTTTGAATACAGAGATATTATGTGATAACTACAATATTTATTCACGGTGGTTATGAAGAAGTGCAAGGCGAGAGAAGCTTGCATACGTGGTTGGAGAAAAGGTTCCAAAAAAGGATGGAAAGTGTGATTTTTCTTTCTAAAAGATGGAGAACGTGGAGGTGAATCGAAGTTTTAATCGGAGGGCACGCTTAAGAGGAGAGGTTCTAAGAAAGGATGGAAGATATGATTGTTCTCTAACAGATGAAGACTATTGAGGTGAATCGAAGGTTTTTCTTGGAAAAGCGCGCTTTGAGGAAGACTGTACGACAGGCGTCAGTAATGGCACAAACACAAGATGCAGTAAGATCAAAGACTTTTACCATAAGAAATATGAGAAAATACTTTGACTGATATCTAATGAGATGACAGACTTGATTGCATACTGACAAAAATGCCGATCTGCTGGTATGGCAGATTGGAGCATTTTTAACGGACGTCGACTGGGAAGAAAAACTGTCAAGAATCGAACGGGAATTCAGTTCATGTATAGTAAGACTTAAGTAGCAGTGTAACATCGATGAGACCTTTGATTGAGGACCGTTCTTCTTGGACAAACTATTGATCAACAGAAAAAGACAAATTGAAGGCCCATAGAGATTGAGCACAACCACGACGAGCCACTGAAAGTGACCCGCCGCGCTGTTTCTAATCTGAATGGAAAGATCAGAAAGAGGTTTGTTCTTGAAGAGGCTATTGAAGAAGGCATTAAAACCAAAGGAACGTTGACTTGAGTTTAAGAATTGATGATATTTTGGTGGTTGAGGTGGTTTGGTTTGTGAGAGGGAAAGAAGAGGAGATGGTTGCTATGCGAATGCGAAATATAACACATGCCTCGCAACAAGATTTCCAAGTTTTCTGCGCTAAGGATAAACAAGAGATGGCACCTGCCGCGAAAGTGAATTGTTCCCCCGCTTTGTGATATTAGATTAGAGCAAGTAATTTTTTTAATTAGCTATATTTACGTCCAGGCCCGAGGTATTCCGAACACAGCGGCATTCACTATAGAATATTTTCAATTTCAAGATGCGGAAATAATTAGATATTAAATTATTACTTCTATTGGCTTAATTAGAATATGCTTCCCATGCAAGTGTACAAATTAATCAACATGAGCATGGAAAGAAGACTGGAACTAGGCAAAGCAACATATCTTCAAGCATAACCATAGAAGTAGAATATATCAAATTCCTTTTGTATTGAACTGTCTATTTGCCCTGCAATGCTCTCTAACTTCTCCATCTCCATTCTACTTCATCACCGGTCCATCGCTCCTGCTTCTTCTGCCCTAATACTCCACGTCATCTATTTTACAAATTCAAGGCCTTTCTTACATCATTTCAGTTAATATCAATCCAAGAAAGGCATACTTAAAAAGGCTGTAGTCAATCATAAAATAGCAGACCTTTTATCTATGCCGAAGCCCGAGGTTTCTGATTATTCATTCACTCATTTTTATCTCAGTCATTAGCTGAGAACATAAAGTCGGGTTGATCGGAATAGTTAATTACCCGATTTGGACACTTGTAAAGAGAGATTGGGATGGAGACGATACATATCATCTTGTCTACTTGACAGAAGAACCAATTCACTCAACCTTTTACCACCCCAGAACAGAATTGAGGAACTGAATCGAAACTTCGAGATCAAATTCCTTGGGGAACTCTAGCACACACGAAGCTCCGTGATAGCACATGATTGTCAGAAATTGTATGTATCATGGCGGGACTTGAGACCTTATACAGTTTAATAACTTCTATAATAGTCAAGTTAATCTACCAGTATAGATTAAGTATTTCGCGAGAGCATCGAACGTGCAATCCCAGCCTGTTATGCTTCGAGTGATTGCATGTTCATGGGAGAGACAGATACTTGACACTAGTCATTGTAATAATAATGCCTGCGAAAGCCGGCCATGCTTTATTTTTATAGCCAGCACAATAATCATGAGAAGCTTTAGGTACATGTAGGTACTAAGCTCGAGATGCAAAGTTGGTCTCGAAAACGGTATGTTTTAGAATCCGGAACCTGTTCTTGAGGGCAAACACTGGTCTGCGAACAAGGTTCAGCACAATATCACGGTAGCTTTTATCACTCGATGGCGCCTCGTAAAGAACTACTGTTCACCAGCTCTTGCTTGGCTGTATCTCCTCCTGCGCATGAAATCCGAGACTCCTAAGTGACATGACTGGAGCACATCAAATCGCTCTCATTAAGGAGAAAATGTACAATTGATCCGGATCTTCAGAGATAAATTGAATCTTCTTGTCCACCAGGTTAATACATCCAGTATTTCAATCCATAATTTGTACATGAGAGTGTTTATTAGCAGCATTCTACGTTTCTTCATTGACGTTGTGTAACAGATGAGGTTAGAATTTGGATGACAAAGCATCGTTCGCACAGTGGGGCAATCCAGCCCCCGCAACGACAGGACGACAAACGACCGTATCTCATACCAAAGGTCGCAATATACATGGATTGCGTCGACGACTCTCGATAAAAGTTGCATCTCTGCTGCAAGTATCAAGCCAAGAGGAGCATTTCCTATTTACCTGATGCCGACGTCAGTGCGTGTGGTGATTTTCATTGGCTTACCAGTCTTTGCTCGCGAAACCAGAGGAATCTTCTCAGCATACCTTTGAAAGTTCCTAATAGTGTGAGAACTAGCTTGGGTATGAAGGAGGCACTCTTTATCTTTCATTCGAATGTCTCGAGGAATTTGGGATGCTATTTCGCAATTGCACAATATAAAAGCATGCCAAGCTTCTAGCTATTCGGGGAATCTAGGGTACCTAGCGTATTTCGTCCTTTCGTCACTGCATGTCAAAAGCTTCTTATTCTATGTCGTTTCCATTACATGTGGACGTGTCCTTGTGCTATTAGGGTCTGTTTGATCGGAAATGATTTCGTAATCCTGGGGCTCGTATATCATCGAATTTATCCTGAGGGTATAATAGTTATTATAGTCTTGTGCTTCGTTTGGCTCTGTGCCCTAAGCCGAGACTTTTGTACTTTTCCTACTTCAAGAGTATGTCAGAGCTTTATAGAACCCAGAAGCTTGTAATAGTTATGGTCTCGAGTGTCGTTTTTGACGGGTCTTTTCCAAAAGTCGAATAGTCAAAAAATCTCATATTATACTTCAAGACCTCTGAGCATGTATCATTGTTACATCGCAAAAGGAAATTAATTTAGTAGATCTACCAAGTCCATAGACTTCTCTTCACTATCATATTCAATTTATAAGGCAATTCTAGTTGCGCTTCCACCGATTCATTATGGTCCTGTCAACGGAAAGCTCGATGTGACTGGCCCTAAGCTACGACTCACGAATCCAACGGACTAGAGTGATTAAGCTTAGCGGTCCTCGAATTAGAAAAAAGAGACAAACTAATTAGTCTAATAGACAATTTCATGCCAAAATATATCCGCAAATGTGCAAAAGCCTATGGACACCTCAAATCCCCAGTCAAAGTTCGACTTAGCAGCCTCACTAGCTCTAGCTCACCATCTAGCTTACCCACAAACTCTAAATGTCGAATAATTTTTGTCCTTGGGGTATTTCATTCTCTTTCGAAAGGAATTCTTTTTCATTCAAAAACATTACACAAGCTCAAGTATTCAAGGAAAAATCTTCGACACGAATCTCAACGAAACCATCTTCCAATCAATTAAACCTCATAAAAGTCGACCTCCAAACGCATAATCTATCCACCATTCCTCTCCATACAAAATTCCCCCAAGAGAAATAAGCCCATCAACCCGCCAGACGACTTACAGAACTAAATTCCACCCTCCACCCAACCTCATCCACAACAACAACCACAAACTCACCACCCAACCCATCCCCAAAATGTACGCCTACCTCGGTCTCGTCTTCACCCTCACCCCGGTCTTCATGCTCCTCCTCATCATGATCATCGGTCGCATCTTAAACCGCAAGCGATTCTCGCATGCCGATACCTACGATCTCGAAGCCCGTTCTTCTGCTTCCGAGAAAGAAGATGAGGTCACTTCTAATAGTAGATTTACTACTACTACCATTTCCACAATGGCACCTTTGAGACCTGCGAGAGCGGTGCTTGCGCCTGAAAGGATTCAATAGAGAATAGGTGGCGGTGAAATTGGATTTGAGATGGGGTATCATGTGTGGTAATTTTGTTATTCTATCTTAGAGGTTGATTTGATCTGATGGGGACAGTTTTGGAGTTTGTTTATGGGCATATCTTTGTATATGAAGAGATGGTATTGGAGTTATGGGATGGGGATATCAGATATTTATATTTATGAAGGGATGGTTTAGATTGAGGATACCTCTATTTGGATAACGTGTAAAGGTTTATGGTAGGGGATATGAGAATGTGAGACTTCCTTCTCGTAGATGGAGTTGAAATTGGTACGAAGGGTTAATTAGCGATACCTGTATTCATAATGCAATGGATACATATAATCATCTACATTCTCCCTAAAAATTAAATCTATCACATGAATGTACGTGAAATTATGATGTCATGGAAATAAACTTGGAAAGCATTTCAGCAAGAGAACACATTACATGTGTAAAGAGATGGAAGTATATATCCTGTTAAAGACTTTCTCTGTTTATTAATTCGGATTTTGGTGGATTCTCAAGTTTTCCCGTATTTTCATTTTACAAGCCTGTCAATGTTAAGTGAACCTGTATCATCATTCTCTTCTTCATATTGACCATCTCGTAATATCATATTCATCTATTCATCTTTCTTCCCCTTACCCTCTAATCTTCACTCCACTATATTCCCAATATATCACATATCACTGGTTCCTCCTCGTCCAAATTCTCCCTCAAAACCATCCGTCCATCAATAACAATATAAACATTCATCCATTTCCAAAAGTACAAGACATCTCCCCAAGTATCACATCCCCATCCATACCATCCTCATTCGCCCCCATCTCTCGTCCAAAAAAATCCTATAGTAAACTAACTATAATCACATTATTTTACCTATCTTCCCATCCCCTCTACAGAACCACCATCTTCATCCCTACAACCCGAAGGCCAAAAACCACAAGTCGTAAACCCAAGAAATGTAGCTCATGGACTACTACACTAGTTAAACCCACCACTCAAAACCACCATCACCCCAACCTATCTAACCACTCATCCCGTTTCCCCTTCCAAAAAAAATCTGTTGCACATCTCCCCTCACAACCTACAAGCTTCACCCCAACTAGTTTCTCTATACCTATAAACTATAAAATATAACCTATAAACGATAAGTTTCAACAAATCCCACACTTCTTTCTCTATTATTTACCTAGGTATAAATAAGTCCTCTTCTAAACTCGATTTGACAAAAACTAGATACTTCTTAATTTTAATTTCAATCATATCTTTCTTGAGGTAAGAGAAAGGAAAATTAGGTGTTGTTTGATTGTGACGTGTGTATACTCGCTGTAATGGAGTTATGAAATTATGGAATTATAGCGGAAATGGTGAGAAGGGAAGGGAGGTTCGAGAGTTTCTGTGTATTGTATAAAGATTCTTCAATTTTGACAAAGTGTTTCTGATAAGATATGAATTGAAAGCTCTCTCGGGTTTCTTGAAAACTTTCTTTTCATTATTGATATACATGTATATATGTGTATATATCAATCAACATCAGACTCCCATGTATAAACTTTCACATCTATATCTATATTCATATCTATATCCATTCCTTATACCACTCTCTCCTATCCCATCTCATCCCCCTCTTTTTCTCTCCCCTTCCACAACTCCAGCTCACAATCACAATCTACTCGTCCCCTCTTCTCAATATCCTAAGGACCCCCATTCCCACGTCACAATACCCACACCTCAAAATCTCCATATCCCAAATCCTACATCTTCAAATTTCTACCTCCATCTCCGCATTCAAAATCATTACCAATACCAATACCAATACCAATACCAATACCAATACCACCACCCACCCCCTTCCACGGCCCTCATAACAAAAAACAAGCGAAATCCAATTCCCTCTCTACAACTCAAACTAACAACCCCTCCACCCTATTTCCCTATCCCAACCTTCCACCCTTCCAACCCTCCACTCTGCTAACCCCAAGACCACAAGCCCTATCCACCCCCCATCTATTCCTCTTCCCTCCTCTCCAATCTCATTCTTTTTATCAAAATCTCTAAATTTTCTTTGGTTCTTATTCCTTACACACTCTCCTATCTCCTTCCCCCCCCAATCCCATTCCTGTTGGTTCGAGAAGGATACGGAAGACGTAGCACCCACGGTATTCGTAGGTATTAAATGTCTATATTGTATTCTGTCTAAAGAGCTAGCTAAGTATAGGATGTTGTAGGCCTTATATAGACGCTACAAGAAGAGCTAGTCTCTTCTGCTTTCGCTTAGGACTACTGTATTCCGCATTCGCTTACAACTGTAATAGAGTAGCTAATGAATTGAAGCTATTCACTAGATCCCAATGATCAATGCTTATACAATTCCCATCTCCAATATTCGACATCTCGAGCCGCTTCCCCTCTTCCATATTTCTCTACTGTATATGAGTTCATGTGTTTTGCAACACTTCTTGTTCTCTTCTATTCCATCTCCCAAACTACTTTTTTCTTCTTTCTTTTAATTCTCTCGTCAAAAATCTAAACTCAAAATTCCCATTTCCATCTCCCAACCAACAACTCCTTACTATCTCCTCCCTATATCCTCCCTATATCCTCACCATCTCCCTACCAACCCCTCCCTATACAACTAAACTCTCCTCCAACACTCCATTATCGTCTTCTCTCTTCCCCCCATTCTATTCCATTCTCTTTTTTTCCCTTCCCCTCTATCCATCCCCTTCTTTTCACCTTTCTTCCCATAGTTTCATGTTATATAGATTAGATCATAATATATTATACCACACTATACTATACTCTACACCCATCCATTTCTCTATCCATTCCTCCCCCCTCCCTCATATCTTTCACATACAAAAATGATTTCCTGTGCTCCTCTCTTCCCCCACTCCCATCTCCCATCTCCCATCTCCCACCTCCCACCTCCCATCTCCCATCTTCCCTCTCACCTCCCGACCATCTCTCCCACCCCCCAGTCCACCTCTCCAAATTACCATCCCCTTATATCCCATCCCAACACACCTCTCCACCCATGCTCCAAATGTCTCATACCCCTCAACCCTCACGCCATACCCTCACCCCTTCCCCAACCCACCTCCTCCAATCCATCTTCAAACCTCCTCATTCCTCACACCCCCCATCAAAATCCCCCACCAATCTCTCCACCCCCAATCTCTCCACCCCCAAACAAACCTCCTCAATCCGCAGTTTCCATCCACAAATCCAATCCCCATCTATATACCTACCTATAGGCTACTCTACCCTGTCTGTTATGCACATCCCTCTCTTCCCTATTTCCCCTCATCCCATCTAAAAAATCTCAACCCTCCTCTCATCCCCCTATTGATCACCCAGTACTATCTAGTACCACCCACGTACCGAGAACCCACTCGATGCGTCAACTTGTTCATCCATCTGTCCATTTATCCATCCATCCATCAATACAACCCATCATTCCCTTCCTATCCCCATCCACCTCCCAACTCACAGAACAAAGTACTACAACAGTAAACTCATGTTCTATTCATACATCTACCAGGTATACTCAGCTATAACAAAAAGCATACATATATATATATCATATACATTCATTATATATACAAAACAAGGACATTTCATAACACATCACATCACGACATAACATCGAAACAAAATCATCATATAGAATTCATCACCATTCCATTCCATCCCATTCCTATCTCTCTTCACTCTATCTATTCCCACCCAACCCAGCCTCGCCTACCAAGTCCCTCGCCCTCGCCCTCGTCCTCTCTTTTTCTTACGTCTCTAACGCTTTCCACACTTCACCAACCATGTACCACACTATACATTCCACTCAAAACACTCTTCCCTCCCCCTCGCTCACTTCTAATCTCAGAGCTCCAAATCCTATTTATAAACACCCAACCCCGCTATCACCAATAAACAATAAACATACATCCGCAAGCCCCTCCACTAATATAAAAGAGCCACCTACAAAAGACAACGCGCTCTCGGGTATTTTGCTTGTAAAGTCAAAAAATCGCGTCGAAGAAATGTACCAAAAGGGCAGAAGCAAGTACAGACAATAATAAGAAAGTAAGCTCGTGCCAAAAAAGAAAGAACCTCCGCAACTGTTCAATTCATTCTCATCAATTCTTCCCATTCTTCATATCCTCCAATGCTTTTAAACAACGCGTATCATATCCCAACATCCCAACATCCACACCAAGAAATCTTTATATCAATAATCATCTATTTTGCTTCAGTACTAACAGCAGCTTTCTTTCCCCAACCCCAGAATCCACCACCGCTAGCTGGTGCTGGTGTAGCTGGCACACTGGCTGGCGCATTTGGTGTTTCAATCTTGGGGACAATACTTTTCGCAGGTATAGTCGTCACCGATCTATCAAGACTAGGTTTTGACGAATGGCCAAAACCCGCAGTTGAAATTTCACCATTTTGTAATCCAGCCAACATCTTCTTCAAGCTCTCTAACTTAAGCTTGGCTTCTTCTGCTTCTTGTTTAGCAACCGCTTCGGCGGTTTTGGCTTGTACAAGTTCAAGAACCAATGAATCGGAATCTACTTCTTCCTTGGGAGAATGTTGCTGTTCAGACGATGTAGAAGCGCGGAAATTTTCATTCTCTTTGAGATTCTGCGGAGATATAAGGCTTGAACTTCGTTTATTGTAAGTTGTGGCCACCGAACGATTGGAATTTGAGCGAACAAGTTTTAACTCTCGAAGTCCTCCTGTAGTTGCACTTTTGACGCCCCACTCAATTTCATGATCCCTTGAACCATCCGGTGTCGACTGAGCACTCTTCCTCGAGTTCCGCAAATCATATACTTGTTTCTCCAATCGTTGTCTATCTTGATGTGAATTTCGTACGTGAGCTTGAGTCTCCCTGATTTGATCTCGCAAATTACTGATTTCTTGGTCTTGTTCAACAATACGCCTGCTCAATTCCTGAGACCTCGATGTCTCGATGAGGAGCTGTTCTTTCGATCGATCGAGCTCTTCCCGAAGTTGAGATCTTGTCAACATCATGGAAGATCTCCGATTCTCGACGGGGTTTTGGAAACGATCTTCGACAATATCAAGTAGATTGGAAATATCGTCGGTAATGATCGGGAGAGCGGTGACTTCATTAATCTCCGACTCGTCAACAGCGTCGGGTGTCGCCAGCTCATCTCCGGGTACTCCATCTAGACACACCTCCTCTGCAATTACATCCATTCCCTTCACTGTTTCAACACTGACATCACTTTCAGAGCTTTCGACTGCTTCCCCACTGGTCCTCTTCCTTAATGCATCAATCAACGGCTGCACAGCAGTCCTATCTTCTTCACGTTCCTCCCTCTCTCTTTGCAACTCTGTAGCAAGTATGGCATGATCTCGTTGCATCTCACTGAGAGCCATCAAAAGATCCTCAATTTGACTATGCAGATTTTTATCTTTGTTGACTGGAGTTTTCGCTGCACTCACACTAGCAAATGATTGAGCCCGAAGTGAGGCGCCATCAGCAGTTGCTGAATCACGAGAAATGCTGGTTGCATCCGTTGAAGTGCTAAGCATACTTTCAGATCCGCTCCCTTCTATAGAATTGAGTGTAGAGGCTAAGCTCTGCTTTGAGGGGGATCTTCTCAAGAAACTAACGGGACGTGATGGCGCGCTAAGCCCTGGACTAGGTGTGAGATTGGCCGATTTTGTTGAGGAATTTGAACCAGCCCATAATCGTCCGAGAAATCGTGAGGCTGCTGATCCTACGTCGGATGGAATAGCAGTGTCAACAATCTGAGACTCCCGATAACCCGCTTCTAAATTCTGAAGGCTTTCGTGTGTTACAATCCCTGTCAGACTAACAAAATCATTGACAAATTCATCGGCATTGTAATGATAAACATCCCATAAACCCCTGGAGAGAAGTAATTGCATTACATCCTCAAATTCTGTACAAGACAGAATTTTGGTTTCATTCTTTCTCATCAATGACAAGGCAACTCGCATGATAGTTTCTGAAGCACCTTCGGCAAATATAACATCGTAGATTCGAAAAAGCATCGGTAAAGGACAAGTAGTGGCAAAAAATGATAAGAACCACTGAGAAACGTATGCAGGCTCGACTTGTAAAACATCGAGATGTGTTGATAAGGCCGGTAGATGCAATTTTAGTAATTCTCGAAATTGGTGTATTCGAACGTGGAGACCGGAGAGGTCAGGGAGGAAGCAATTTCGTAGGTCGTAATGTTCCATGAGACTACAGAATATTAGCAAATATTGTGACCGGTCGCAACGCTGATATCTTACCGTACGAGCACACAGAATGCTTGCTTATCCCCCATGTGCATCAATAAAGGTCCAACAAGAAATCCCAATCCTTGACAATACCCAATTTTGTGATCGTATAAACTGAAGCATTTAAGAACTCTTCCCAACATGCGCTGTCCATCTCCCTCCGGATCGCGAAACATCTCGACACCAGGAAAGCTTCGTCCCAGATCTTTGCCAATAATTCCTTCATATGGACTTGACTCGCCACAGAGTCTATCGAATTGCTCCTCCAATAGCCTGTCGCGGGCTCCTGACATACTCTGCCATACTACACCTCGCAGTGGCGGGGGAATACCACTTCTAATCTTCTTCGACAATAGTGTAGGTAAATATTGAGCAGTTCTTGGGTAGTCTTGTACAAGCGCGGCGTAAAATTCGAGGTCGGTCATGGGGGGTGGAGGAGTGACGGAGTATCGAAGCGCTGAGGGAGTAGGGCCATTGACCAATTTTTTGAGATGTTGTATAGATGGCGGTCGGGATTGAGCTCGAGCTCGTTGTTTCTCAACCTTCTGAACTTTTGCGATGCCAGACTTCGGGTTCGAGGCGATCGCATTGTTTTCTTGCTCAAGCCTGGCTAGCAGCAAAGCTGTGGACTGCACCATGTCAGTATTGGAAGAATGTACGCGTCTGTCATAACCTTACATCATCAGAATCCTGGTTTCTGGGCTGTTGTTCCTCTGTCTTTTCCAACTCCTCCCAGTTGACCTCCTCTACTGATGTATCAGAGCTATCACTTGTCCTCCTCGAAGCATTTTGTTCCGACTCTGCTGATTCCGAACCTGTAGGTGTGGGCACTTCATTGCCATTTGGATCTACCATTGTAATTCTCGGCGAGTCTTCGAGACTGCCAGTGTCCGTATCCTTCCCTGTTACATCCATTATACTCATTATCGTCTGCCTCTTGTCGGTAGGAGTATTTATCTCCTCGCTCGTCTCCAATTCCTCATTTGGAATGATCTTGTCGGAATGTCTCTTCGTGTCGAGTGTCAAAATTGGCGGTTCGGAAAGTCGCACTGTAACCATCGAATCATGCTGCATCGCCTGTCCCTCCTGGTGAATTCTATCCTCCACAACTCGATTCAGGGTGGATTCCATTCTGGCCTCGAAGTCTCAGGAGCGAACGTCGTCGCGTTGCAATAAGGTAAACAGGTCGGAATGACAATAAAGGCACCCCAACCTCTGATCAAAAATTGGTTCACTCCACTGTAATTAAAACAATCAAAAAAAAAATCCAACCTTCACTCTTTACCCTTAGCTTTTCTTCTCACAAACAAACAAATTTGGATGACCCGATGTGGAAGAATTCCCAAAGCAGAACCCCCTTTGAGTGTAACCCAAGAGATAATTTATTACTGGTTGCACAATTCGATGAGTCCAGTCGATGAATGATCACAAACAAGCTGTCACACTTTGTCAGATAGCAAAGAAGGTAGACGGAGGAGAAATGGACGCGCGCACGGAGATCGGATGTTTGATGTTTCAAGGAAACGTGGGTGGTAAATGCAATGCTGGACGACAGCCGTTGAAAGTTAATCGTAAAACCAGGTTATCGTGAAAGTCGTGAAAATGTCTAATAAGTATGTACAAATTGAAATGAGGGTACAAAGTATTTTTCGGAAGAAAGGGGTGGAGGTGGATAGATGGGTAAAATGAGTTGAGTGAGTTGAGTGAGTGAGTGGTGATGGAGATGGAGATGGAGATGGGCGATGGGCGATGGGCGATGGGAGATGATGACTGAAAAGAGTGACTTTTTCTCTCATATAAATGTGAGTATGGTGATTGTACAATTATATCTCACTGACACGAAGGAAAAGAATGTATCAGATTTTTTAGTTTTTTTTCTTTTTCTTTTTCTTTCCCTTTCCCTTCCATCAACTATACATAGGTACATAACGATTGTACAAACAATTCCTTTAGTATTATATTTATTATGATTGTGCTGACCGTCCGTACCTTCATATAGTGTAGTGAGAGATGGTAGGTAGTCTGAGTATGATGAAAAGGATGGGGAAGGAGTCGATAGGAATTTGCCAGGATTGGATGCAGATGGATGCAGATGGATAGATGGATACAGCGGTGAGATAGCCCAAGAGTGATTGGTGAAAGATCATAGGTTGATGGGTAATTTGCACATCTTTTTCTACTCTGGAGTCAGTCTCTACAATACAAGTGAACGGCGTATAGGAAGGTACTAGGTATTAGTAGGTAACGGGAGATATTGGATATTGAATACAAATTTCACAGTGGATTATATTGAGGGAAGCTTGATCGAGTGAGGACGAATCAATTTCCCCCCTCCCTCCCCCAAGCCAAGTTACTCAATTTTGGGACGACAAGGATATCTGGGAAAAGTGGAATGAGCCATGGGCCCAGAAGAGAGAGAAACAAGCATTAAGGGGGTTGAAAGCATAAAATTCAGGGGAAATGTAACTCTTCTGCTGCTTTTGTGCAGACACACCTGCGGACACACCTGCAGACACATCTAATAAGCATTTATTCTTCCACCCACCCTCTCCAACTCAACTCAATCCAACTCAATCCAACCCAGTCCAATCATATACCCAGATATATACATCATAGACGCCTAGGAGAGATTAGGTTTAGTGATCTCACATCTGACAACACCTAGGTGCTAGGTACATCGTAGGCACAAAGTATGATAAGTTAGTAGATAGCGATATCAGGATTAGTACTCGAGGAACATTTCAATCATTTCAATCATCTCAATCATCTCCAATTGTTCAAATCCTCTCACTCACCAGTGACCACGCACGCTCACCTCAACCATCTCAACCCTCTCAACCAGCTCCCTCACCCCCAATCATCCATCCCTATCCATCCCAAGGCTAAAAACTAGTCCTACAACCACCCACCACCACACCCCCATCCACTAAACACTAAACACTAACCACTTACCCCTGAACTATACTCATCCCCTTTAGTCATAGTACCTTCTAGCCTAGCACCCACTAGCGCGACGGTAGAACCTACCATAAGAATTCTAGAGCAAATAACCTAGTGGAGAACCAACCAAATAGAGTCAATAAAATGGCACTTTCAGTCTGGACTGACTCTCTCTGAAATGTGTGAAATTCGGGACTCAACTTTCTTGCCTCTTGTCTTTTAGCTCGTGAGTAAAACGGGTCTGGGATAGTGGGATGTTTGACAGAACGGACAGGTATCTATGTATCTATCAAAAGAGGATAGATAGATAGATAGACAGAAAGGATAGTGCGTTGTCGGTACTTGATCAATCTATTTGGGGGCCAGAATAATAATATTAACGGGATAAGTTACCTAACTCAACTTGGTTATCTATATATACACTGCTAAGATTACCCAAGGTATAAAATGAAGTCGGATCCTAGACTTTCAATTGCGCCAATCATCAAGAAATACGTAGGTGATACCTACTCACACAATTGATTGTATCATTCTAACTATACGTAGTTATTTGTGAATTAATTCTTTATTCAGGGTCACCCACGTAGACAAGTTCTGTTACTCCATAGATAGAGTTAGGATGGTACGAAAGGAAAAGACTGGTACTTGTTATGCTATAATCATCTAAAAATATATGCTGATCACCACAAGAGGTCTGTCAGTATCGAACCATTGAAAGCATCCTTACAAAACAATATTGATCACCACATATCACAATATATCCACCAAAGATTTTCGCTCTCTTCCGCAATGGGTTGTATTTTTGTTTTTACACAGAAGAATCTATTTCATAATTCGCTACCTATGTATCGATCAAATACTATACGCATACAAATGGTCTACTAAAAGAGTGTAGTAGGAAACCCATCCCATTCGCTTACACACAAAATCCCTTGATGCACAAATTGATATCCTAAGGCAAAGAAACCATTTCGCCCACCGATCTTTCCTAGAAGACTAAATCACAGTGACGAGCTGAAAATCCCAACCACAAACGCCGGAACATAGAAAACATGTCATCCATTTACTCGCTGAAGTCATCCTCGCTTTCATCATCTTCCACCAATGCGGACTTATCAACATCATCAACGTCATCATCATTCGAATCATCCGAATCGATGGTATAAACTGGTTTCTTGGTCTTGGCAACGGCGGCTTGTCTTGCTGGACGACCACGGCCTCCACGCGCAACTGGTTTGGGTGGAGAATCCAGCTCATATTCCTCGTCATCCTCATCATCTTTAACGACCGGCTTCACCTGCTTCTTAGGTGCAGGCTTCGAACTTGTGGAACGCTTGGGAGGAGGAGCGATTGACTCATCCTCATCATCGTCATCACTAACGACAGACTTCTTAGAAGCGGCTTTAGACGTAGTGCCTCGCTTCGTGGGAGGGGCAATGGAGTCGTCCTCGTCATCGCTAAGGGCCGACTTTTTGGGCACAGCTTTTGGTTTGGCCCCTCGTTTAGGGGGAGGGGCAATGGACTCATCCTCATCATCGCTGATATAAGTTGGCTTGGAAGCAGCCTTACCGTTGCTACCTTTTCTGGGTGGTGCAGCATCTTCCATTTCAACGTCTTCGTCTGAATCGTCACTGAGGGCACGTTTAGTCGCAGTCGTCTTAGAACTGGCTTGTCTACCTTTGGCAGCAGGCTTTGCTGGCAGTGGTGGGGCTTCTTCCATATCCTCATCCTCACTATTATCCTCGTCGTAACCGATTGTTTTGGAAATTTGCTGGAGGCGATTTTGTTTCGCTGCATATGCTTTCGCAGCTGGTGAATGAGAAGCAGGCTTTGACTCAGCCTCTGCAATGGGCTTTTTAGCAATTGGAGCTTTCTTGAGCTTCGATGTTTCTTTCGTTGCCTTTGCTTTCTGAACAGGAGCCTTCTTGGAGGCGACCGGAAGAACGTCATCATCAGAAGACAAAAAACCATCTACTTCGTCTTTGGCTGGAGGCTTTTGAGGGGAACTTCTAGCAAGCATTTCGTAGTTGGTTTCATCTTCGGAAAGATCAACCACCTTGCTAGGCTTAGACTTTTGCTTAGGTAAACCCGTGCTACTGCTAGGTCTGTCGCCAATGCTGGTTGACATTGCAAACAAAGAGAGTCTTGAACTTCCCGTCACAGCGTCTTTTTTATCGTTGCCACCAATACCCTTGACCATGTTATCGATATCACCGAGAAGGTTATCGTCATCGCTCTCATTCTCGTCGTCGTCATCCACTATCCATTTCTTTGGTGCGCTTGCGGCTGCACGCTTGCTTCGCCCAGTCCCAGCATCAAGCTTGGGTCCATCAGCTTCGGGAGCCGCCAATGCTGCAAAATCGTCATCAGACATCCCCGAGTCGTCACCGCCATCAAAACGACCGGCAGATTTTGGTTTAGGTTTGTTGGAGAACATATCCATGAATCCTTGATGAGGTTTGCTCTGCACCTTTGTGACTCCCTTTATTGGATCTGCCTTCAATGGCTTAGCTGGTGCCTTCTTCTTTGCACCAATAGTAAATTCTTCATCTTCCTTCTTAAGTCGACCTTTTCCAATAGGCTTTCCACCGGCTCCAATCTTGTTCGAACGACGTCGGTTTGTATTGCGGATATTCTTGGTGATCTCCGCATCTTGTTTGAGTTGGTCTTCCCACTCCAGGACAAATGCATCAAGATCTTCACACCACAAGTCTTTTTCGCTGAGCTTGTCGAGTGTGTCAATCTCATCTTTCTTATCATGCATCTGTTTGTTTAATTTGTCGACGCGTTCTTGGGTGAGAGACCAAATTGGTAGCTAGTGAAAAGTCAGCATGTGATAACAAAGTTGATATGAGGTTACTTACGCCAAGAAGATAATCATAATCTCTAGCTCCAGCGTCTTCATCAGCGGTGACCTCTTCTTCATTTTCAACCACATCATCAGTTTCGCCAGATTTCTTCGCATCAGTAATCTTTGGAAATCCTTCGTAGCCGCGCTTTCGAAGCTCCGCAACAAGGACTGGCTTCTTCTTTTTCGAGACAATTAACTTATTCTCAATGATTTCAGTAACGAATCGAGCTTGATTGGTGAGCTTGCGATACTCGATATTGAGTTTCTTCATCCAATGAGCTTTACGGACAGTGTACATCTTTAAGCGCTGCTCGTAAAACTCCTCTAGGATATCCTCAAC